CTACTGGGCCACACCCAGTGCTCAGTGATGATTTCTGGGGGGCCTTCTTTGCGCCACGTGTGTGCGTGTGCGGTGGGAATGGACGCACCCAGCTCACAGACACTGTGAAGGTGCAGCAGGGCGAAGGGCTTTGGGAAGCGTGCTGCACCGCTGCTGCCGGCGAGGGGACCCCAGGGGCTTGCCACACCCTAAGTGTCCCACGTGGGGGCCTCCCCGAGACCAGCCATCACTGCCCCTCTGTCTCTGTCTCTCTCTGCCTTTCTCTCTCTCTCTCTGTTCCTGACCAATCAAGCTTTACTTTACTTGGAATAGACAGCTTCCTGGCTTCTCCCCACGCAGCCTGTTTCTGGGCCAGGGTTTGTTTGAGGCCCTGTTTGGATATTGTTAAAAGTGGGCAGCTTGGCTCGGAAAGGTCAGCGTTAGAGACAAGCACAAAGAGATCTTTCAAGCTGGCCGCGCGCCGGGCAGCCAGAAACGGCTTGGAGAAGCCCAGGCTCCACCTGGCACAGGCGCTGTTAGGCCTGGGCTGGCACTGCTCGGCCTGGTGGGCATCTGGGGCACGTGAGAAGCTCACCTGGTTTCTCAGTTCTCAGAGGGGTAAACTGAGGCAGGGGTTATTCCCAGCACTGCAGAAGAGGTTGGCCTCGGCTGGAACCCCAAGTCTCCCCTATTCAGCCCTGGCTGCTGAGTGGCATAAAAGCCTCTGAGTGGGCTTTTTTTCTCTGAGGACATTCAGTAAAAATTGGGATTAACTCACAACATGCCTGCGGGTGATGATTTGTTTTGATAAAGAGTTCCTGGGAGCTTATTTAGATGACAGAAATCCCTCCTAGGTTTGGAAAGAGTGAGATCTAATTCTGGGTCACAGGAGCTTGTTAAAATGCAGCGCTAGCTCCTGCGCTAGGGGCGGCTGGGGCCTGGGAGTCAGCATTCCTTCCAGACCCCAGGAAGGGCCAGGCTGCTGGTCCAGGGGCGGCGCTGATACACAGCCGGGAGGGGCGTGCAGAGAGGACGGCCCTTGTGGTGTGTGGGAGGAGAGGCCACAGTTGCTCCCGGCTCCAGCCCCCTGGCAGCAGTCTGGGCCTGGCTACCAGGGCGGAGGCTGGCAGGTGGCCCACGGAGTGGAAAATCACCCCAGGTCCTGCGGGCCGCCAGCCTCCTCCGGGCCGCACAGCCTGCCTGGCCCAGGGTCGGCCTGCCTCCTCCTGGGGCTGTTGCCCCAGCTGCCAGGGAGCGCTCCTGCAGACCAGGTCCCGGAGCCAGGTGTTTCCTCTGTGCTCGGGGAGCTCACGCAGTCTGTCTCCTCTCTGTCCTGGTGATGGCTGGTGCTGGGCTGTCCCCTCAGCTGACGGGGCTTGGCTTGTGGCCAACTGTCCAGCTCGGAGTTCTTTTCTGCAGCGGACGCCTCGGTGGGACTGAGTGGCTCTGCTACAGACACTGCGTCCTCAGGCTTGCGGGGGCCCAGGCCTGTCCTGGCTCTGTCCATCTGCCAGGGAACCCTGTTCTTCGGTCCTCCAAAGGGCTGAGGCCAGTAGGGGACAGATGGATGTGAAGCGGGAGGACCTAGCTGAACTTTCTGCAGAATGATGCCAATGAAATCATCAGGAGTCTGATCTTTAGGATACAAACTGGCAGGGGGAAGGAGAACATTGGGCGATCCTCTGCCACACGCCTGGCTGGGCTTGGGCTCTGCCCCCACCATCCTCCTGACAGAACTGTGCAGGACTGAGGAGGCTTCTGACAGGCAGGAGACTGGGACCTAGACCGCCTCGTGCTCCCACGAGGCAGACTTAGGCTCTGACTGCAGAGCTGGGGTGTCTGTCAGACTGGCCCTTGTGAAACCTGGCATCTTAGATTAGGAGTACAGGACCCTGCAGATCATCTAAGCCAGTGGCTCTTGAGGCCGAGGGTCCGTTGGAAGCCCTGGAGACGCAGTAAGTCCCAGCTTGCTGGGCTCAACCTGAATTTCTGATTCAGCCGGTCAGGAGTGCATTTCCAAAAAGCGTCTTTCCAACACATTCCTGGGATTCTGATGCTGCTTGTCTAAAGAGCATAATTTAGGAACCTATGCTCCAAACCATTTTCCCAGTGTGTGAGCTGTGTACCTCTAGTGATACCCCTGCTAATTTGTTCTTTTGGTGGTGGTGGTGGTATTGGGGATGGGACCCCGGGCTTTGTGCATGCTAGGCAAGAACTCTACCACTGGATCCACACGCCCTTTGTCTTTCTTTATTTTGGGACAGGTTCTTGCTCTATTGTCCAGGCTGGCTTCAAACTAGGAATTCTCCTGCCTCAGCCTCCTCAGTAGCTGGTATTACAAGCCTGTGCCATGCCCAGTCACAGACTTATTAAAAAATACTTATATATTTAATACCTGTTGGCAGAAAAATAACCAGCACAACAAGCCATGATTTCTAGTGAGAAATCTATTGAAGCAGAAAAAAGATATAAATAAAAGAATTACATAAGTAATAATATAGTAAATCCCGCACAGCTAGTGGTAAAATCTGAGCAGTGTATGCAGACAGCTGGAGCTGAGAGACACTGAGCTAAATGGAGTCCTCATTTTGCAGAGGAGGAAACAGGCGAACCTGCTTCCCTCGGCCACATGGCCCTTAGTCGCTGGGCCTGCACGGTCTCCGGAGCCTGAGGCTCCCTGTCCTGCAGGTTCCTCAGAGCGCAGAGCTGGCTAGGGAAGGTCGTGACCCTGACCCTAAAAACAGAGCTCTTGTAGTATTGGTCATTTGCACATTTTTAGCCCTCCTGTCTGAGCCGGAGTGTCACCGGAGGCAAAGGACTTGATCCGTGAGCTCGTCCTCCTGCGGCTCCCAGGCCCCAAAGCGCGAGGCACCGCAGCACGCTGAGGGGCTCCTGTAGCTCTCCTGGCTGCCCGCTGTGGCTGGGCACCCTGCGCTCGCTCCTCGTCCACACGTGCTGGCCTGGCACCTGTGCTTCCCCTCGTGTGGTGCATCCGGGGAGCCCCCTGAGCAGGTGAACAGGACTGCTCCGCTTCACAGTGGAAGCTGTGATGGGGTAGGTGGGGTGTGAGCCCCGCCCTCGGGAGGCCAGGGTGTGCGGAGGTCAGGCCTACCGTGGGAAATGACCTGGAGGCATGGTAGTTGCTTCAGAAGAAGAATTAACAGACAGGCCGGGAGCGGTCTGGAGGGCTTCCTGGAGGAAGGGACGTAGGAGCTGGTTTTTAAAAGATGGTAGTGGAAAGGCTTTAAAGGCAACAGGGCAGAAGCCCATGCCAGCACTTGACAGCAGGAACTGGTCGTTCAGTTCAGCACTCGCTTGAGTGGTGGGAGGTGGGGTGCTGGGGGAGTCACGTCTGCAGGAGATAACTGCAGGACCACCCCAGATTCACTCGGCCCCGGACCCTGAAGGCACTGACCTGGGCAGGGTCCAGCTGGGCACCTCCAGGGGCAGGGGGAGCCACCTTCCGAACAGGCTGCAGTGCGTTAGTGGGTTACCAGACGGCTTCTGTGGACTGCGGCCAGGATTTTTGAAACACAGAGTAAGGGGGAAGCAAGCCAGGAAGTGCCCGAGTTGCCTGCGCGTGGTGGAGACAGGTATTGTGCCAAGAAACCTTAGGTTTATGTGCAAGGGAAGTGTGTGCAAGGAACAGTGGGGCCAGAGGGAGGCATATTTCTCACTGTGGGTCACATTGAAGCAACCCTGAAAACTGTCAAGGCTCAGAGGGTGCTGGAAGGGAGCAGACCTGGCTGGCGTGGTCACTGGGCCAGTCTTGGGGCCTGGTGCTGGCACCGGCAGTGAGCATGGACTCCAGCGTGGGCTGCAGGCAGCAGGTGACGTGTGGAGCGGAAGCTGACGCAAGTCCGGAAGCCCAGTCCAGCCCAAGGCATTTGGGCAGGTGGCACCTGCTTACAGGCTCAGTCGTGTGTCCTCGCAATGGTGGGCTGGAGCCTGAGTTGCTGGGTGCTTTGTGAGAGACAAGTCTCCTTCCTTGCTTGTTGCTGTCAGGGCCTTTCATCCTAGTGGCCTGTAGTGGATTGATAGCTGGTGGTCAACTTGTAACCCCCAGCTGAACTGAGTCAGCGTGGTGCTGGGTGTGGGAGGCCCACCTGGGGACTGTTGCCAGCAGCATAAGAGGCAGAACTGAAGGAGAAGGAGGCTGTTGAGAGCTGAGAGAGGCTGTGGGGAGCTGGTAGAAGCTGTAAGGAGTTGTTGGTTCTGTTGCAGGAGCTCGTCATGCTGGCTTTCCTCATGAACTTGGCTGTTTTCATCCTGCAAGGAGCTCAGGGCCTTGTTGGCACTGAGAATAGCTTCGGTTCACTTTGGGGGAGCTGTGGTCCTCACTTTGAGCATTGCTTCCTGGCTCCGGAGGGGAAGATGGTGCACTGCCAGTCTCCTGGAGAAGCTTGCTGCGTTGGCTTCCCTGATGGGAACTCAGCTGTCTTCACCATTGGAGGAGCTGAGGACCTCACTGTTGCTGAGGATGGCTGTGGTACCTTCTAGGGGAGCTCTGGTTCTTCTGAGTGTCACTTCCTGGCTCCAGTGCAGATCCCTTAGCCTGCTGGCACGGGTCCTTCATCCCTTCAGACTTCCTAGATTCCACCACTGACCTTTGAGCCTTCCCAGTGCAGATCCGTGAAACAGGCCTGCATGAGACATTGTTGTGGGCTCTGGGCCTCCAGTTGGACTCGTGGGAGGCACTGTTATGGGCTCTAGGCCTTCAGCTGACTCATGCAGGACATTTCTGTGGGATCCAGGCCCTCGACTAGACTCCTTGGTCTTAGTGTGTGGACAGATTCCTGCACTCTTGTATATCATTCTTTGGGTGACGATTATAAATAATCTTATAAGATGTGTGTCCTGTATTACATTGCTCCCCTTGCAAAATAAACCCAAATCAACACATGGCTGGAGGTGGACAAAGAAAACTGCAGCATGCAGGCTGTCCCTTGGCACTATAGGCTTAAGGGTGTCTTTGTGGGGGTTGCTTTGGTCATGACCCCACTTCTGTGCCCTCCCTCCAGGAACATCGTGAAGGCCATGAGGGAGCTCCGCGAAGTTCTCCGGAGCGTGGAGACCAAAGCGACGCAGAACTTCAAAGTGGTAATGTGGCTGCTGGCTGTGCCTGATTTATTCCGGGGCCAGTGTCCATGGGAGACAACAGAGGTCAGAGCAGGCAGCCCCAAGCCAGGCATGTAGTGTGCCATGGGCAGCACCACCCTCCCTGCTTCAGGCAAACAGTGCTCACCACCTCCGCCTTCTTCCCCAGTGAGCCTGGGATCACCCTCGGGTCCTTCTCGCCACTCCGCTGTGGAGAACACCTCCCCTTGGTGCGGAGGTGAAATCTCCCACCGGCGGGGATGTGACTCTGTAGAGCGCTCCCCTGGCGTGTGTGAGGCCCTGAGCTGGATCCTGAGGGCCCCCTCCCCCACCTATGCCATCCTCCAAGAACAAAGTGGTCTTGGCGAGGAGGCACTGCTGTCTCAGATCTGTTTATGACGCTAGTACCGCTGACTCTGCTTTCTTGCTCCAACTCACACCTGCCTGCGGAGGCCTGCGTTCCTCCAGAGTCACAGCCGCAGCTGCTGTTCAGGCTAGGGTGCCCGGTCAGCCATCAGCACTTCCGCCGGGGCACTTGGCAGAGCGCTGCCTGTGCCTGTGGGCCCGATTCCTTCCCACCTCCATAAGGGTCTGCAGGGCCCTCGGACGTGGGGGCCCTCGGACGTGGGGGCCCTCTGGAGGGGGAAGGCATGTGCCTCTTGCGTAGGAGAGGAGAGGCAGAGGAGGGGAGGGAGAGCCAGCCAAGCCCAGGGAAGGGCTGGGGCGCCTCGCTCACTGCTGGGATCCCCGGGAGGGCGCCCGGAGAGCTTCCTGGGGCCGCGCACTGCGGGCGAGCTGGGTGGGGGCGTTAAGGTCACCCGGCTGAGTTCCTCCCGCTTGCAGATGGCTGCCCAGCACCTGGCGGGGGTCCTGCTGCACTCGCTGAGTGAGGAGTGCTACTGGAGCCCCCTGTCCCACCCTCTGCCTGAGTTCATGAGCAAGGAGGACAGCGCCTTCGTCATGCAGGCCCTGCGCAAGCCTCACCTCTATGAAGGGGACAAGTGAGTTCCGCCTGCCCCGCTGAGCACGTCAGTCTCATGCCGTGCGGCTCCGGCCTTTGCCTGCTCTCTCTGGTCACTGCCTTGCACTCTGGGCTGGGCCGGCACTCAGAGACTGGGGAAGGAAGTGAGGCACCCAGAGGCCCATCTGGTGATGCCCCTTTCTTGTTGGTGCCCCTGGTCACAGGTGGGGTCCGTGGCCAGCTGGCGGAGGCTCAGAGCCTGTTTGGCGCGCTCTCTGTAGATTCGGGTGGTGCTCCGGGAAGGAAGGGCTCCTTCTTCCCCAGGGGCACCTGTGGCCTTTCAGACCAGACTTTAGGGCCCCTTAAGGAGCTGCATGTGATGTCAGTGCCCCTGAATTATGCAGGAGTGGGTCACCTTACGGGCGGGTGCTGACTTGGGGCAGAAGGGATGCACCGTGGCCCGCGTGCTCTTGCTGCGGGTGGGTGGAGCCCGACTGCCTTTGCCTTTCAGCCTCTACTGCCCAAAGGATAACATCGAGGAGGCCCTCCTGCTGCTGCTCATCAGCGAGTCCATGGTAAGCCCGGGCAGCCGTGGGGTCTCTCAGCCTGCGGGTGGGGCTGGGGCTTAGGCACAGCCCCTGTTGTCCTAGGCAGACTGCTTCCAGGGAGGCCCCCAGAGCGGAAGCCCCTTGGCTCTGCTTGCCGGGACAGAGGGTGAGTCCCGCTGGGCGGGGCGGGGCTTGGCTGCACAGGCTGCCCTGCGAGGTCTGGGCCCTGCCCCCAGATGGGCGGGGACGAGTGCGCGTCCCCTCTTCTGGGATCACAAAAGGCGATTGTCTCGAGGGAAGTCTGTGTCCAGTTACCCTGTGCTGGGTGCTGAGCCGGGCACGAGAGAGCGGCAGGTGGGAGTAGAAGGAGCACGTGCTTTGGGAGCAGGAGGCTGGGGTTCAGGTTCCAGCGCTGACCTTGTAAGCTAAGGGCCAGCGGCAACTCACTCAGTCTCTTTGGGCCTCGGTTTCCTCCCTGTGAGATGCAGCCAGGTGTGGGGGCACACGCCTGTAATCCCAGCACTCAGGAAGCTGAGGCAGGTGGATCAGTGTGAGTTCAAGGCCAGCCTGGGCTACATAGTGAGACCGTCTCAAAACAAAAAAAGGTGAAAGTAACTCACACTGGTGAGTGTGGGTGGAATTCATACATTCTTATGACAATTATTGATTATCTGCCTTGTGCGGGGCCCTGGTGTAGATGCCAGAAGTGCTGCTGTTCTCCTGGAGCCCGCATTCTAGTGAGGGAGGTGGCGCTCAATTAATGAATAACAGTCTCAGTATCGGCGCGTTGTTTGTCACATGCATATGCGTGTGTATGCCCACTACAGATGAACTATGCAGAGGAGAGGAGAAGGCGTGCTGGGCAGAGCGCGCAGTGAAGTTCTGTGTAGACTGTCACAAGGCGTGTTTCCCGTGCCCTGGGCAGGGGAGGAAGGCAGAGGCACGTGTGAGTATGCGCGCACACACAGTGGTCATAGCGCCAGGAGGCAGTGACCATTGCTGGAGTGCCTTGAGGCTCTGTCAAGGAGAGTGTGACGTGGCTGGGTCATCCAGGAAGTAGAGAAATACAGGATGGACAGATGCAGGAAGGAGTAGCAGGGACCGGAGAAGCCAGGCATAGAGTGTATCTCCAGGGCTGGGTCCAAGTCTCCCAGTGAGGGCCCCATCAGAGCTGGTGAGCTGGGACCACTGGGTTGAGATAGATCTTCTGAGCCGTGCATCTGAGGAATGATGCGTGAGCTGGATGCCGGCAGTCAGAAATGGGTGTTCCTTCGGACAGGTGTCTGGGAGTGTCCTTTGGCCATCTGGGATGGTGGCTTTGGACATCGGTTTGGCGTCAGGGCTTGCTCAGAGAACTCTGGTGGAAATGTTGCCTCTACTCCACAGATCTCCCAGCAGTGGACAGGAGAAAGATGCTTGGCCACAGGTAGAGAGGCTGTGTCCAGAGCCAGGCTGGTCCATTTAGGATCTGGAAGTTCCCAGTTTTAGACTTGGGTGTTCGGAGTTAACGTGCTCACTAGGCACGTGATGACATTGGTGTCACCTTCCTGGGCTGTGGGTTACAGTGTAATTCATAGGTAGGTAGCAAGAGGTGACAGCAGGACCGTCTCTGAGGTCCCTTCTCTGCCAAGGGCCAAGCTGACCCTCACATGCGTAAGCGTTCTGTTGAGCCGCGTGAAATTAGCAGTTTTTAGTTGTTTATGGTGTACCACCACCTCAGGTTATATAGTTTCATTTAGTATCAGTCTGTTTCCATCTTTTTTGTTGTTGTTTTTGAGACAGGATCATGCTGTGTAGTTCCGGCTGCCTTTGAACTCTTGGCAGTCTTGCCTCAGGCTCCAGAGTGCTGAGATTCAGACGTGTGCCACCACACCTGGCTCCATATGTCCCCATCCTATAGACGAGAAAAGTAAGGTCCGGGGCAAGCACCTGTCTTGGTCGAGGTGACACACACTAACCTTGCGGTCCTGATTCCCACCACACCCACTCCCCGCACGTCCTCTGTAAGCCCAGGACACGGAGCCCAAGCTCCAGTCTTGATTCTGTCCCTCACTGCTGCTCTCGTTCTTGGTTTTCTCACCTATAAAAGGGCCAGAGAAGTAATTTTGGGGACCAGGTGGCAACTGTTCTTCTCCTCGGCAGGAGCTGAGGCTGTACTCAGTCTCCCTGAGCCGTTTTCTGTGGCCTCTGATGAGGGACAGGACCAGAATCCCAGTGCCTTTCCCTTAAGTTTATCCCCACCCCTGCCTCGCCCTGAGCACCACCAGCGGCCCCTAAGCTCAAAGTGGAGAACGGCCTGTTACTGCAGTGTGGCCCACGCTTGCGTCAGGAGAATGTCCTGGGGTGTGTGCCTTCCCTCCAGGCAGCTCTTCCCGTTTTGTAGGGCGGCTAGAGTGGCAGGCCTGCCTGCCCAGGCGCCTGGGGTGAGGGCTGGGGCCCCTGTGGAATCCCCGCAGCATCAGAGCAGGAGGACTGCAGTTACCACAGGGTCACCAGGAGCAGGCACATCGGCTGGCTGGCTTCCCCCTGACCACGCACAGCCTGTCAGACATTTGGGAGCTCGAGGAATTTGGGGCGGGGCATTTGTAATGGACTTAGCTTTGGTGTCTGGTCTGTAGAGGCCTTTTGGCCTCCAGTCTGAATCTGGCCTCCGTGGCTCCCAGACTCCCTCTTACCTTTATTTTCCATCTCCATCCCTTCCGTCACTCAGTCAGCCAGAGAACGAGGTGTGGGCTCCATGGCTCCAGTCCCCCATCCCTGTTCCCGCTCTCACCCGTCCCCTGAACCCGAACACTCCACACCCGCTCTGCTGGCCACCCTGTCCGTCGGGGAGTTTCCTCCTCTCTCTCTTTGATGCTGGCTGAGCTTGGCTGCAGGTGACGAGCTTGAGAAATTCATAGAGCAGCAGCTGGCAGCCTCCTCCGCTGCTTGGATTCTCCTGATACCTGCAGAGTTCCTTGTGCTGCAGTAACAGTGGCCGCTGCAGAGCCAGCCCACAGTCACTGTGGCCCTTACCTCCAGGGTGACCCGAGCAGCTGCTCCTGCGAAGGGTGTTTGCAGGCTTCCTGTTCTGCGGCCCGGAGCTCAAGAGGGCCGTGCGGGGTCTGGGTGTGGGGCTGGAGCCTTGATATGGTTTTTGTTATACACTGCATGATCAGAATTAATGAGGGAGTCCTTGTCTTTTAAGAGATAAATAGAAATTACAATACCTTCATGCAAATGTAAAGGGTATGGAAAATGATTGAAGATTTATGTTTTGGACTTAGTTTTGAGTCTTTGTGGCTAAAAGAGCATTTTAAAATCCATTAGTCCATCCGCCCATTCTTCTGTGCATCCATCCATCCACCTACCCACTCATCCATCTACCCACCCCCCACCAGTTCATCCATTCATCTGTCCACCCACCCTCCCACCATTCATCCACACAGTCTTATTCCAGCAGCTGTACTGTGCCGGTTCATGCCCGGCACCGTAGGTAACAGTGAGGAACAGCCGTTGTCCCCAGTATCCGCCTAGTTCCCAGGGACATGGAAGAAATCCTGGTCTGTGAATCAGAAGGAAGTACACCAACCTGCAGGACTCAAATGCAAATTACAGTTTTTGAAAGGACAGTAGGTGAAGCCAGCCTGAGTTTCTGACAGCTGGGGAGCCAGGAGGTATAGGAATCTTTGTTGTTTCCAAAATACTGATCCCAGGGCTTAAAAGATGTGCTAAAGAGAACAGTCCATGAGCCCTCGTTTCAGCAGGGGAAGAAACTGCTGCTGGTGTTGGGCTCTGGGAGAGGATGCAGAGGCCTGGAGGAGAGTAGGGGTTGCGGGGAGGGGAGCATTGAAGGGACTGGTGTCCTGCAGGTTCGCTAACTCTGTGCCATACCCAGCGCTGGGCATCTGGATACTTGAATCTTAAATTTGTCACAACTTGCGTGCCTGGTCAACTTCCTTACTTCCTTGGGCCTTGTTTTTCTGCTCTGTAAAATGGGGCTAAGAAGGCTGTACTGCAGGATTTTGAGCAGATTAAGAAAGAAAATGAAAATAAAAATGCCTGGTACATTTTGGTTGTTCCATTTATGCTTTCCTCCTAAAAGATACTCAATTCTGATTCAAGCCATTTTCAAAACATTTAAGTTCTGATCTGCTTGGGAGATTGAGGATACCATTCAGTGTTTTGGTTGATTTGATTCGATTTATTTTTGTGGTACTAGGGGTTGAATCAGGGCCTTTGTCCTGACCTACATCCCGAGCCCCTTCTAATGTTTTTCTTTTTTTTTTTAGGCGGGGTCTCAGAATAAGTTGTTAAGCCCTGACTGGGTTCAAATTTGTGATCCTCCTGTCTCAGCCTCCACAGTGCTGAGATTATAGGTGGGCACCACCGTGGCCAGTGTATTGTTTTATTTTTTAAAGGATTTCCCGGGCCTGCTTTCATTTGGGACTCAGCAGATAAAGACATCATTCTGGCTTTCAGTTTCTGGTTTATTCTAACACAAAGCCCTGCTCTGCCAAAGGCTGTGCCGGTGACACAAGGCTCATAGTGCCACCAGCTGAGACCCTTGGTTCTGTAGATGTGGGAGAGCCTGTGTCACTGACTGGCAGGAGGACTGTGCCCCCGGTGCTGGGTACATGCAACACGCCGCCAGCATGTAATTTCTTCGCTCTGTGGACTCGGCTCCAGAGCCGGTGGTAATTATGTCTGCCAGCGGGGCCCGGCAGCAGGAGCGGAACATGACAGCATCGTCCTTTGGGGAGGGGAGGCTCTGGGCTCAGATGCTGTGGGAGGCCTCTTTCTGGGGTGATTATTGGATGGTCTACAGCAGCCCGGCAGACGGAGAGGCCGTCTCTGAGACGGGGCTGGACAGGCCTTTGATGCATTGCTGAGGAGCATGTCCTTCGCAGAGAAGCAGCACCCAAGGACCCGTTGGGGAGCCTGGCCTGCGTTTTGCGTGGTTGGTTGTTAAGCAGAGCTAACCCAGGGCCTCTGATGGCGTGGGTGAGGCTATTGAGCACTTTCCCAGAGGCTCTTGGAGGCCGGGAATGAGCTGGGTTGATGACAGAGTGTTTCGGTTCTAATTTGGGCCTCAGCACCGCTTGGGCGTTGGTCAGTGTTACCTACCATGCCTAGGCCTTGCTCAGTCTGCCCGTCTTCACCGTGGGATGACAGAAGACCAGACTGTGAGGATGATGCGATGCCCCTTAGGAAACGCCCCCTTGCCCCCTTTTCCTGTGGAGCCCTGTTTGGTCCAGGGCTGGGGATGGGAGGGACAAAGGGCTGGGCAGAGGGAAAGGTCAGTGCCATCGAGCCCTGCAGCCAGCAAAGGGCGGGGACTGGGCTTGCGTCTTGCCAGGTTGGAAGGGGTGAGCCAAGGAGCCAGGAGGCAGCTGGAGCACAGGCGGGCAGCCGGTCGCAGGCTGGCTGTTAGAGACTCAGCCTCCGCTCTTTGGGACCTCATCTGCCTCAGATCGCCGTCTTACTGTGTCTAGGTGTGTAATGTCTTTCATTGCAAGGGATGCGGGGAAGGGGAACACGGTGAGACAATAGGCCTCCCAGACTGTCTCTCTCTGAACACTGACCCCTGGGGGCCGGCACCCGCTTATCATCTCAGCGGAGAGGAGGGAGTTGTGGCCATGCCCAAGGGTGTCACTTGTCTCTAAAGGAAAAGATAATCTGACTTCTAAAGTTCTCGTTTCACTGTGCTGGTTACACTGCTGGCAGTGCTGAGCTGTCGGGCGAGGGGGTGTGGGGAAGAGCATTGCTTCTTGGCTTCTCCTCCTCTGACCCACAGAGCTTGAGGGCGAAAGCTCTTTGGTCCAGGAGACGTTGCAGAAGGTCCCTGCAGAATGTCAGCGGGACAAAGGCTAGGAGTGGGTACCACTGCCGGAGTCCTGCCTGGGGAAATGGACCCCTAGAGGGAGGGAATGGGGGGTGGGTGTGGAAGCCATGGCAGCAAGTACGAAACCTGGGGAGGAAGTGGGGAGAGGCTGCGTAGTAGCAGCGTTTTACCGTAAGGCGCCAGGTGCGGTCACATGCTACTGCACTTGGTCTGAGGCTTTCCTCATGCAAGCAGGGATCTGAGACCCTGCAAATGTGGAAGGGGGACAAAGTGGTTGAGACCTTTCTGGAAGCTGCTGCAGCCGGGAGCCTGGGGGTGCCGTGTGGCCTGGGAGTCGTGAGGGGAGGCATGGAGGAGCCAGCCAGGGTGTGCAGAGGCGGGATGAGGACCCCTTTCATGTCTGAGACCCTCGCTGTGAAGTCTGCTCTGGCCCCTCTGGGGGCCCTGCTTGTCATCTGAGCTGAGAGGAGGGCGTCATGGCCATGCCCAAGGGTGTCACTTGTCTCTAAAGGAAAAAATAATCTAATTCCTACTCCTGTGCGGCCCAAGCACCAGTCCCCATGACTTCTTTCTGCCCCGGTTTCTCCTGCCCTGCGCTGTTACCATGGTTACATACACAGGTGAGGTAGAGGTAATGCCCAGCAGCCACCGCAAGCATTTCAGAGTGGCCTTGCCCCAAAGCCGCAGGAACCCCTGGGCAGCCCTCTGCCTCTGGCTGTCCTCTAGGTGCCACCCTTCCCACTTGGCACAGGTGCGGCTGTGCGTCAGGACCGAGGACCCTCAAGAACGTGCTTTCTCTGCTGTCTGCCTCTCGGGGGCTGGTCACCAGGAGGAGGCTTTGAGCCTGTGCTTCTCTCTTCCATTCCCGTTCTTCTGACCTAGTTAACGCCCAGCTCTGAAAGTCCACCCCTCCCTCACACTCAAGCACCTCAGAGGCCTGGCTCCCAAAGCCCAGCTCTCAGGCGGATGGGGTGGGGAGAGTTTCCATACAGCCCAAAATCTTCCTCTCGGAGGTATCACTTAGTCTGCAGAGATGGACTGGTGAAGTGTTCTTGCAGGAAGCTGTGCTAGGGGTTTGGGGCCCAAGGATGACAGGGCCGTGTCACAGAGTGGTTCGAGCAGCAGGGATGTGCAGGCCGTGGGTGTGTGCTGGTGAGAAGGCGTCCAGGTTGACAGAGGAACCCAGCATGACCAAATTCAAGTCTTGGCCATAGGCAAGGAGGAGCCCGCCAGGTCAAGTTTCCTTAGAGAGGAAACTTTGTCCCCAGGGCAGTGGTGACGGTGTACTATTTACTGTCCCTGAACAGGGCTGGCAGCGTTGGAGCAGATCCCAGCCAGGCTTCCCAGCCCTGCCCCATTAAAAGCTGGGCCTTGCAGACCACCGGGCTCTGCCCTTCTGTCCTGACCTTCTAGGTCAGGCTCCCATCAGGCAGGCATTCCGCAGCCCCCTCCTGAGGGCCGGTCCCTGTTTCTCGTGTTCCCCACCCTCTCGTGCCCAGCCCCTCCCCAGGGGTCCAGAGGCCATGTTGCTGGAGGTGGAGCGGGGAGGCTCACTGCTGGGGAGGGAGCGCGGGCCGTGTGCCTGCTTGGCTCGGGGAACAGCCCTGCCAAGCTCTGCTCAGAACCCCTCTTCCTCTCTTAGGTGTGCACGTGGTCCCCTCCCTACCCTGTGTCCCTTACCCTTCGGAGCCCTGGCCAGCCCCTGCCCACCAGGCTGGCTCCAGCTGCCTTTCTGATTCCTGGCATCCGCGGGATCTTCTCCTAGGCCTCTGTCCTGGCCCGTGATGTCCATGGTGGGCGGGCAGCCTCCCCAGTGTGGCTGGAGGGGAGCTGCCGAGCAGCCACCAGCCTGCCTCCCTGCCTGAAGTGCTGCGGGGGTGAGTCTCCGCCCTGAACCCCTAGGGGCTGCACTTCAGCTCTGCACCCCAGTTCCACCCACGGCCAACAAGCTGCGGCTTTCTGTCTCCCCAGCCTGATGGGAAGAGGGAAGGTAGCCCTGCAGGGTGAGGCCGTGAGGCCAGTGGGCGGCCGGAGGGTCCTGTGGCTGCCAGGGAGGGAGGCTGGGTCTCAGGCCCAGCAGCTCATTTGGTTCTGTCGAGAAAGGGAGTCCTCAGTTGGGAAGGTCTGTGTGGCAAAGCCGGGGGTGGTCCCAGAGGGTGGGCCGTGCTGGACAGAGGGGAGAAGGGAGAGAGGAAAGGGTGCTGGGAGCCTCTGGCCAGAGCGCACCTCAGCCGGAGCCCAGACACAGCCCTCCGAGTGCAGGGGTCATTTCAGACCCCAGAGCAACCGTAGGCTGGGTTTTGCCACAGCTGCGGCAGCTGTCCACATACTGCCTCTGTGCCCCGTCCCCGTCCCTCTGCCCTGAACCCCCACACTGCCCTATCACCCACCTCCTCTGCCCTCAGTCTCCGCTCGCCTTGGGGTGCGGTGTGGCCAGGAGGTGGAGTACAAGCCACAGACCACGGAAGAGGAGGGCCCCGTCCTTGTGGGGTGTCCTGGTAGCAGGAGCTCCCTCTGAATCGCTCAGACTTGCCGGCTCATCCCGCCTGCCTCCCCGACCGCCCAGCAGCCACCTGGCGACTCCGGGAGCTACTGACGTACACAGTGCTTGGAGCTCCGAGGGCAGGGCTGGGCCCAGACGCCGGCGGCGGGGAGGGGCAGCAGGCGAGGGGAGAGTGAGCAGTGGAGCCCCCGGCCTGGCGGCTTCCCGTGTTATCTGAGGCTCTCGCTGTGACTGTGGGGAATTGCAGACACACTGGGAACATTCCAGAAAGCAGCTGGTCTGTACTCCTCACCAATGCCAGTGACCTGAAAGGGGACCGAGGAGGACCCAGCCCCCACGGGCAAGGCATGAACCCGATTGCGTCTTGGAAAGGAAAAATTAAACTGCTGCAAAGGACGAAAGGATTGTTACGTACTGGGGAGAAGCAAAGCAAGGGCGCTACATGTCAGTAGTGGACACGTCTTGATGAAAGGTGTATGGCTGTAGCAGTTTTCTCATGGTGTTTCTGTAGCTTTGAAATTTTGCCAAATCACAGATTGAATTCCAGGATGCTGAATCCTCACCCACCTAGGCCAAGGGTGCTAGGCTTTTCTCATTGGAGGACCTGTTTCTGGGAGTATGGCCGCCTGCCTGGCCGGGGACAGCAGCGCAAGGTGGTAGGTGGGAGCCCCGCAGAGACAGGCACCTGGTCATCTTCTGTCCTCTTTTTTTTAAAGTGTTTTTGAGAGAGAGTCTTGCTATGTGGTCCAGGCTGACCTCGAACTTGCAGCAATCCTCCTGGCTCAGCCTCCCAAGTGCTGGGATTGCAGATGTGCACCGCCACACCCAGCTGTCCTCACTCTTCATCAAACCATGTTCTACCCATAGGCAACTCGGGACGTGGTGCTGAGCCGGGCGCCGGAGCAGGAGGAAGACCGGAGGCTGAGCTTGCGGAACGCTGCGGCCATCTATGACCTCCTGAGCATCACGCTGGGCAGAAGGGGCCAGTATGTCATGCTCTCCGAGGTACGGCCCAGAGTCAGGTCAGGCACAGGAGAACCGAAGGGAGCCACCATTTGCCATTCCTCACTTGTCACTATGCTGGTTGGCCTTTTCCTGGCCCTGTGAGCTTGGCTGGTCCTGCCGGCCTCGGCTTCCTCACCCGTGAAGTGGGAGGAGTTAGGCCCCCATCTCAGGGGTGGGAGAAATACAAGTTCATATGTGTGGAAAGAGGAGAATATTGTCATGTGGGAATGATAAATATTAGCTGTTATTTTTATTGGATGTGTGCATTTTGAAAGCACCTTCACATATCTTACTTCACTTGCTCTTTATCATGGCCCCATGAAATCACCCACAGGTTGTGGAAGTGGGAACCAAGGACTAAATGGGGAAGACACTTCGCAGGGTCACCAGCATGCCAGTGGCAGGGACTGGGTTAACCCTGGGTGTCCACGGGAGCCGAGTGCAGACCTCCACTGCCTCCCAAGGCCTGTAACGTGGACAGTGGCTGCCCTGGAGGGGGACAGGATGGCTGGGCTGAGAGGAAATGCTGACTGTCTGCTCCTCCCCAGTGCCTGGAGCGAGCCATGAAGTTTGCGTTCGGAGAATTTCACCTTTGGTACCAGGTGGCCCTCTCCATGGTGGCTTGTGGGAAGGTAAGGCCCAGGGTGCTGGGATTGCACCCGCCCGCTCAGGCGGCTCCTCCCAGCAGGCAGAGGGCGGCAGTGATCCAGAATCGCCACGCAGCAGCAGTGGGTGTGAGTCTCTAGGAGAGCAGGTACCGAGGGCCAGAGGCGTGAGACAGATACCCTGTGTGAAGCCCTTGGGCACATGTGTTACAAGTGTGCCCGGTGCAAGTGTCAGTCCAGATGCCTTTCTCTGAGTACGGTGCACACCGGGGGCATCATTTTGCTTCTGTGAACTGGTGCTGCAGCTGCGTGGGTGTGTTTGTGAGGGCACGGGGCCCTTCTCTGCCACCAGCTGTGGCATCAGGAAAAGGCCTGCCTGTGACTTCGCGCCTGCCTTGGGGAGAAGGGGAAGTGGGAGCGCAGCGGCAGCACCAGGGAGGCATGTGGAGGGAGACCTGCAGGGTGGGTGCAGCCAGGGCTTAAAGCTGCATGGCCACAGGGATGGGGAGCGGGTGGCCCAGAGCAAGGGGCATGGGGGCAACACTCACTGTCCTTCTCCCGGCCTACATGCCAGCTCCCCTGATTCTCCCTCAGATCAGAACTATGCTTATGTAAGCCTCTATTTTAAGCAGTGACATGAAAGGAAAACCTTTCCGGAGCTGAGTGCTGAGGGTGTCGGGGCTGAGGATGCTCCGAACACAGGAAATAAGGTGGTAGGAGCTTGCAGGTGGCTCCGAGAGCTGTAAATACCCAGAGCCCTTTCATGGGGTTGAGGGAATCCCTCGCCCCCGGCCCATCTGTGCCGTTCCATTTCTGGCCCCACAGCCGTCTCTGAGGAGGGCGCTCCCAGTGTGCCAGCACCGCCTCCACGAGTGGAAGGTTGCCAGGCAGCTCAGCCTCAGCAGTGGCACTGGCCAGGGCCTGGCATACAGGGAGAGGCAGGGGGCACCATTGAGATCGGAGGAGCCTTCCCATCTCTTCTCCAGGGCGTTTGTCTCTCTAACTCGCCACCTGTCATATGGCCCACCATCAGAGCACCTTGAAGTCAGCATGATCGCTTCGCTGTCTGCTCAGCTGGGTCTTGTCAAGGTGTAAGGAGAATTCAGAACACAGAGAGGGGAGACCCCAGTCCTCTGCAATTAGGAGGCCCTGTAGGGAGTCGGATGGGTGGAGGCCTGTACAAGGAGCAGCATGCCAGGCAGAGGGGCTGTCTGAGCAGAGGTAAAGGGGCTGGAAAGATGACCTGTGGGATAAGAGGGAGAGGCAGGAGGATGTAGGTGTAGAGCTTATGTAGACCCAGGCACATAGTTCATAATAGTCTGGGGCATCTTCTTCCTGCCTTCAGCAAACAGAGAAAGCACCTGTAATCTTCTAATACCACAGGCCCAGAGAGGCCTGGGGCCAGGGCAGTGGTTTGCAGCTTTCTGTGGGTCCTGGACCTTTGGAGGAGCTGAAGAAAGCTGGATACCCCTCATCATAAGAGTACACTGCACATGGAAATCAGCTTTAATTTTTAAGGGACTTTCTGGAAGCCCCAGGCTCAGGAAAAGGTATCATGGTCACCTGGGAGAGAAAGGCTCTTCCACCTCTTACAGAGAAGCAGCTAGGCCCAGAGAGATCTGGACACAGCCTAGCACTCTCCCGACATCCAGGGAACTGGTTACCCAGCCTGGCTTCTTCACGAGCCAGCAGGGTAAAGAACCAGCTTACAGACAGGCAGTTGAGTCTAGTGACTTCTTCCTGCATGAGGCTCCCTGGGTGGAGACACCGGACTCCACCCACCCGTGTGCTTGGTGCAGCAGAGGATGTTCTGGAAACCACCCTCCACCTCCCGCAAGGGGTCCCACTTGCCAAGTTAGTCAGCTGGTGCCCAGGCAGCCCTCAGAGGGGTGTCCAGAGCTTGCCTTTGCCAAGAGCCCAAGGTGAAAATCCAGGATCTGTGTCTTCCAGGTGAGGCTGGGCAGATACAGGTACACCTGGCCTTTTGCCCTCCAGGAAGAATGGATGAGTCCCCTGGCATGATTTAGGTCTTTCCTTCTCTTGGTCTCTATGCAGCAATTGCACTGGCTGTGTTGCTAGGTAACCAGCATGACAAAAAAAAAGAAGAACTAGCTGCTGTCTCTGTTGAGTCCTCAGATGGCTCCTTAAATAGTGGTGTTTTCTGGTCTCCGTGGGGGTGGGCTGGGAAGGGTGGAGTGGAATGAAGAGGGTCAGTGTGAGAACCCCATGTTTCAAGGGTCCCCAGGTCAGCTGCCCAAGGAGGCTGAGGTGCTGCCTGGGGCTTGCAGGGTGTGTGCAGGGAGGGCCTTGCTGAAGTCAAGAGTGGCATTCCCAGGAGAGGGTCCCCAGGCAGCCCTCCTCACTGCAGCCAGCACTGGGCACCCTGTGTGGTCCCCCATTCTGTTGGAGTGAGGCATTTGCTGGCTCCCTTGTGCACTCAGCTGTCCACTTCTTGTCTTGTGAGAGAGCAGTAGGGGATGGTGGCATTTGTCTTTTGCTCCCAGCCTTTCTGTGACCTCCTGGGGGTGAGAACCATAGCTTTATCCCCCTTTCCACAGGGATGTCACAATCACTGGCCCAGGACTGCAGTTGGCCTCATAATCTGAAGTGTATTAGTCCTTTTTTTGTTACTGTAATAAAATACCTGAGGCTGATACATTTATAAGGAAAAGAGGTTTATTTAGCTTGCAGTATTGCTGTTCAGGGATTTGGTATGGCATTGGCTCTGCTGTAATAGGGACCTCACAGCAGATGTCATCCTGCCATGAGTGTGTGCTGGTGGGTGAAATCACATGGGATGGAAAGCCAGAGGGGAGAGGCTTGCCTTGCTCTTTTTGTAGCACTCTTCTCGCAAGAACTAACCAGGGTCTCACAAGAATTACATCCATCCCTTCTGAGGGCAGCGCTCCAGGGACCTGACCAGCCCCCATTAGATCCCAACTTTAAACCTCAGTGCTGACACCTGGAGACCAAGGCTCCAGCACTTCACTCTCCACCCGTGTGACCGTGCAGTAGCTGTTACTGGTCAGCTTTCCTGTTGCTAGGACAAAAAACTGACACTCACAACTTAAAGCAACTTATCTTGGCTCACAATTTCAGAGGGTTTGGTCCATGCATAACTGGCTGGGTCCGAGGCAGAAATGGCGTGGTGGAAAGGCCTGGTGAGGAAAGCTAGACTGCAAGCACAGAGAGAGAAGGGAAGAGCCAGGGATAAGAATGTATCCTTCCAAGTCATGGCCCCAGTGACACTCCTCTTGGAGAGCGTGACCAGCCTCCAGACACAGACTTTTGGGGGACATTTGAGATCTAAACTGTGATAAACACTTCACCAGAGTTCAGGGAAGTCTCTGGTAGGTAGGGTGCAAAAGCTCCCTCTTTGGGAGTGGAGAGTTGGGGCCTGGGGTGATCACAGTCCAGCTGGAGCACATTTGTGCATCTTCCAGCCACTCACACACACCCCTCTGGGAGCAGATGAGCCTCCTGGAGGCTTCTTTCCTTGGTAGCACCCCAAGTAATGGGAGCTTGGCCTGTCGCAGTACTAGTTACACACATGTACCTACCCACCTCAGGGTCTCGCATGTGTGGAGTGTAACAGCCAAGTGTCCTGGAAGATGCTGGATTCAGTCAGAAGGGTCTAGCCTTGCTGTGCTCATGTACGTGTGCACAGCAGGAAAACTGGCCTCCTCTCTGGCCCAGATCAGCACCACAGGGCCATAAAAGGTTAAGATCTTAGGGCTGGACTGTGCAAATCTCAGCTGAGCCACTTAAGGGCTGGCTGTGTGGCTGTAAAACAAGCTCCTTAACTTCTCTACATTTCACTTCACTTACCTATAAAGTGGGGTTACAGTACCTACCTGTGAACATTCAGACTTCGTGTTTACAAAACAATTAGAGGTCAGCAAACTTTCTGTAAGGGATCAGACAGTAGACATTTTTGACTGTGCAGGTCAGTCTGTCACAGGTTTTTCACTCTGCATTTGAATCATGCAAACAGCCACAGATGATATAGAAATAAATAGGCGCAGCTGAGTTCTGGTAAAACTTTATTTATAAAAACAGGCAGAGGGTCCGACTTGGCCTGCATCTTGCCTTAGAACATTGCGTCTTCCGTTGGTGTCGGTAACATCTCCTGACCTGCACCCAGCTGATCTCCCTGCTGGCCTCCCTCCACACTTGGCCGAGTCCCTGGAGCCGTGCGGGACCCTGCAGTCCTGCCTGTAGATTGTCTCGGGCCCTGCCAGCTTGGTTTCTCACCTCTGTCTCTGCCAGTCTTTGTGTACCCTCCAACTCCCGCTGACCTGTCTCCCAGTGCCCATTTAGAGAGTCCCTTCTGCCTCTGAAGTGGTTCACATTTGCATTCCTTTTGGAAAGCTTCCATCTGTTATCACCTTAGCTGTTGTTAACGCACCTTCTCCCTGCCCTCTGCTAAACCAGCTAAGCTGTTAGGAGGCTGGAGCTCAAGCAGTGCCCCCTCCCAGCTGTGGCCTTTACAGTAGGCAAGGGTCACGGCATCCATTCTCCAGCTGAGGAAACTGAGGCCCAGGGAGGAACATGCCTGCCGGCAGCCCCTAGACTCCTCTGCTGGGGCCTCTTCCTGACGTTCGGGAGGCCAGGCACAGAGTAGGGGTGGTTGGTAGGGGACCTCCCCCGCCCTGGGCACAGGGCACCCAGACATGGCGACCTGGCAGCCCGTGATGGTGTACCCTGCTCTTGCTTCTGCAGTCAGCCTACGCTGTGTCGCTGCTACGGGAATGCGTGAAGCTGCGGCCCTCCGACCCCACTGTGCCCCTGATGGCTGCCAAGGTCTGCATTGGGTCCCTGCACTGGGTGAGTATGCGTTGGGGCTGGGTCGGCAGGGGGAGGAGCAGATGGGTGAGAGGTGCAGGGTGAGGCTGGTTTGGCGTGGAGGTGAGGCTGCCAGCTGTGCACATGGTTGAGGGAAAGGTTTCTCAGAACCCAGTGGCCCATTCTCCGCAGTAGGGCCCTCCGCTCAGGATGGCAACAGATCTGTGGTTTTCCAGAGAGTCAAATATGCTCTCCAGAGTGTCAGATGGTGGAAGGTAGAGTTGCCCTCGTCTGTGCTTCGGTGGGCGTCGTGGGCAAGACCTTGGCGTTGCCTGGGCTGACACATTGTCTCGGGTTTTAGATGGCCTCACGTCTCATCTACAAGGGCCAGCCAGGCTGATGCTAGGGCTCGGAGCTTACCCTTGCTAGGAGTGAACCTCTCTCCTTGCTGTTCTTTTTTTTCTGTCTTGAACCCAAGGTCTTTGCTCTGAGCTCCATCCCCAGCCATTTTTTAAATTTTGAGACATGGTCTTGTTAAGTTGCTAAGTTGCCCAGGCTGGGCTCGAACTTAGGATGCTTCTGCCGCAGCCTCCCAGTGTGCTGGACTTACGGGTGTACACCACCACACTGGCGCTCTTTCCCTTGCTCTTGGCTCTGGCCCCTGCCCTGGGCTCTGCTGCCTGCTGCCTGCCCTCCGCTAAGGCCGCTGAGCTGTGAGGAGGCTGCAGCCCAGACAGGGACTTCTCCACAGCCCTGCCCTTTGCTGCAGGGCCCAAAGACCCCCTCAAGGTGTTAGTAGCTTGGAGCAGTGCCAGAGCACAGGACCAGGAGTCCAGGGCCACGGGCCAGGTCTGCTTGGCTGCATCTCCAGGTCTGTGGAGTGCTTGGGCCCAGGGGACTGTCCCAGGCCAGAGGCACCTCTGTGTGGCTAGCCGCTCTAACTAGCAGCTCGCTCTGGAAGTCTGGGCTTCTTCCTCAAGTCCCAGTCAGCCTCCCGACGTCAGGACGTCCTGTTTCTACCCTCTTGGTGACACAGAGCAGGTACCTGTCCTTCCCGCATCTTGGCTTCCTCCCTCCGTTCCTCCTCAGGCTAAGTAGCCCCAACGTCTTCACCTACTCTCTGGGCCCGTGCTCTCCTCAAGTGGTGCCTTGCCTAGAGCGGCTCTTCCTGACTTCTGTGGGCCTGATACCTCCGTTCTGTCCCTCGCGGCTGTGTATTCGGCTCACTCGAAGGCAGCAGGGGCCAGGTTCCAGGGACTTCATGCTTAGCAGCCTTGACATCACCTCCTGCCACTCTCTCCTGTTCTGTGTCCAGCAGACAAATCACTGGCCCCGAGAAGGGAGGTGGTAAGCTCCCTGTCAAGTCCACATTCTCGTGCTTTGTCCCAGTACAGGAAACTGCGCCCATCCCTCTCCTGGGTCCTTTCCTGCTCTCCCACGGGCTGCACCTTCTCTCTGCTGCGGAGAAGGATGCCCTAGCCTAAGGAGGGGGTGAAAACAGCACCTTTCCCTTTCTGCCCATGTGCTCAGATCCCCTGTGTTTGAAGTGCCAGCCCTGGGTCCCCGGGCCCCACTCAGAGGAGTGCCTCAGGCTGAGAAGAGGGGAGAATTAATGAGACTGATCCTTTCGTGGGCACTAGGCTCTCGGAAAGGGCAGTGTGACGAGGCAGTTTCGCACCCCTGAGTGGTCTTGAGTGAGGCATGTAACTTTGCAGGGTGGTCAGGGAGGCCGCTGGGTGAGGTGGCTTTGGACAGGCACCTCAGGGTGGGGAGGATACGGGTGATCTGCTGGCAGACCTTTCCATCACAGCTTGCCTTCCCCAGCCGTCATCAGGGAGCCCTGTGCTCCCCAAGACCGTTGGGAAGGCTGTTGGCATCTTGAGGTGGGACGCCATTCTGAGCACAGCGTGAGTGGGTGGCTTGGGGGTGCAGGCAGAGTGGGGGCGCCCCAGGCTTGCACTTGCAGCAGAAGGCGGTGGGAGCTGGAGGGTATGAAGAGGGCTCCGCAACCCCCAGCTCAGACCATGCCTCCCCCAGGCCTCCTCAGAGGGCCCTGAAGCTCGTGGCTGAGATGAAGCCTGAAATACCCTCATCTCCAGGGGCCAGGGGGAGGGGTGGGCATCTGTGCTCTCTAAGGCTGCCAGCTCCGAGGGAGCTCTGGGTCCACCCAGCCAGCAAGCCCTTGCCAGGAAGCCCTAAATTTAGGTCTTCCCACCACGGAGGAGCTGTTTCCCTCCGCAGCATAATTACAGTAATTATGTGCATTCAGATTACATGGTAATAAAATTAGGATCAAATCAGTCCAAATTGAAATCAGATGAGTTAGGAGCAAAGTAATCAATGACAACATAAATAGAAAAGCCCAAAAGGAAGCTTAAACATACAGGCTTGTCATCGGGTCGGAGGGAAGGGCGAGCTGTTGAACCCCCACTCAGCAGCAAGTTGAGTGTCAGTCTGCTTGGAACTGGCATTTAACTCGGACACAGGCCGGTGGCTGGGGATGGCTCGCCTGCAGCCTCTCTGGCCTGGACCGCCCCCTCCTGCCTCCTGAGGCCCCGCTTGTACCTGCCTTGGACACTGCTCACCTGTGCTGTGACTCCTTGCTTCTTGAAGGCAAGACTGTCTTCCCTGAAAACCTGCCCAGAGCTGGGGGCGGGGGACCCTGCTGGCCCAGCAGCGCACTTTCTTCACAAGCAGTCCTGCCGTGTCTGGCCCCTGGCTTCCCAGTTAGATGAGGATCCATCTGTACTCGCCTCGCCTCACACACGGGTCCCTTCTTCCCCGCCAGGGAAGCCCACGCACAGGAGGTGACACACACCCCACTGGCCTGGGTGGGAACGGGTAGGAGGTCTGTGCTGGGTCCTGTGGTCTCCCTGCCCGCTGTGGCTAGCTCTCTCCCTGTGGGCCAGCCCAGGGCAGCCTGTTCTTTGGCTAGACCGGGAGGGAAGCAGCCTAGCACGCTCTGTCGCCCAGGCCGCAGCAGGAGGAATGTCTGACCGTGGGCAGGGACTGAGTGTGTGAGGCAGGTGTGACTCTGGAAAGATGCGGACCCCTGTCCGTCAAGCCTTCGTGACTCCGGCTCACCCAGCCAGGCCCCGTGAGCTGAGGACAGAAATCCGGGGGTGGACCGTTTGGCCGAGGTTGCAGGAAGGGAGGCTGAAACTGGGACGTTTGAAAAACGAGTTTTGCCAGGCAGAACCAGCCTGGTGGCCACATGCCCAGGGGTGGGGCATCTGCTGTCCCTGCATCTTGTGCTTGTGCCCAGAGCCCGTGTGGGTCACCCCAGGCTGGGGCTGGATCTGAGGCCAGCGGTCCCCACAGGTGGGGTCAACAGAGGGACTTACGTGGTCACCGCTGGCTGCAGGGTAGGGGTGGCTGGAGTGGGTTTAGGGCCGGGGGAGCATGAGGCTCTTTGGGGTGGGGAGGGCTTCCCAGGCTCCGAGCCGGGGACATGGTGACAGTGCTGAAGCCAGAGAGCCCTGCAGGCCGCCAGCTTCCTGCTTTGGCGTGGCCAGCATTCTGCCAGGTCCCCATTTTTGGAGCAGGAGAAAAGAGGTGCAGACCTGCTTTAGTGCCCCTCTGAACATACTCACTGAAAGTTGCTTAGATTTCAAAAGCTGCAGGCAGCATCGAGGGTGGGACGTGCTGTGTGCTGTGTTATACACGGATGGCAGAGGAGGCTGTGAAGTGGAACAGGGCTTTGCTCCACTGTGGAAGGGTTGCGGTGTGTCTGTCAGGGGCACGTGTCCCCCAAGGGTGCTGTGGGGGTGGTGAAAGAGCAGAGGCTGTGGAGGAGGAAGACCGGGGTTCCACTCCCACCTACCCACTCACTGGCTGTGTGACGTTTTCCCTGTCTGCGTCTCGGTTTCCTCATCTGCAGTCTGGGAACGGTCACCTCCACTGACACAGAGTGGCTGTGAGCACCAGAGGCAAGGAGTGTCCCTGCGTGGCACACTGCAGGTACCTGGCAGGCGGTGGGTATCGCCCTTACAGCCCCTTTGACAGAGCAGGCGCGGCCTTTTTGTCTTGACCTTCAGGTTTTACACTGAGGAGTGGGCAGAGTCAGAAGATGGATTATGTGTTCATGAGGCAGGGGAGAGACGAAGCCAGCTCTCCTGCGGCCACCTAGGAGAAGTTAGGCAGTGCTTCTCTCCTGGAAGAAAAGGTGGATTTCCCACAGAGCAGCTACCAATAGGCTCTGGGCTCGGTGGGAAGGAGCAAGGAGAAACTGGAGGTGTCTGAAACAGAGCCTTGCTCCTCAGACGTGGACTTCCTCGTCCCTGGGCAGAGAAGAAGAGGTTGAAGAATCCCGTGGTGCAGCTCTTGAGCCCACACAGGCAGTTCACTGAGGCAGCTCTGCAGAGACCACATTAGGACAGCTGGACGAAGAACTGGAAGCCAGGGGGACCCTCTCCATACTCAGGGAAAGCAAAGCCAATCCATCGCCACCATATACCCTTTGATGCATCCTTTTTCTAAAATGCCAGAGAGGAGAAAATGAAAGCCACAGCAGGCAGCAGTGACCCGGGTAGCCTTAGTGTCGGGAGACCTGGGTGGCAGGTGCAGTTCTGCGCTTCTCAGCCAGGTGACCATGCGGCAGGCCACCTGCACTCAGAACCTCTGGCTGTGAAATGCCTGTACCATCAGGTAGCCGGGGTGCTGTGACAGGCCAGGTGAGCCTCAGTCTGCTCTGAATTGCAGGGAGGAAGCAGGGGACTCGCCGTAGGATTTCTGGCAAGGTTACGTAGCTGAGAGAGATGTTAGAGGATTTTTGCATTATGGGAAAGAGGAGGGTTGGCCAGAACCTTGGAAACCCTCAGAAGTGAGGAGGACCAGCACTGTGACCTGAATTGGTCACAGAAGCAGCAGCCCCTGCTCAAGAACCCACAGCTGTTAATTTTAGAAACCTCGAGGAAATGTGGAGCCAGGCAGGGCACCTGAGGAACCAGGCGGGAAGAAGATGCTTCGGGTAGGTGCCGGGCCTCTCGGATCCCTCCCACGAGGGTGGTGTTATCAGATCACAGGGCCATAGCCGTTAGCGGGCTGTGGAATAGACACTTAACATCGGAGATGGACCATCAGTGGACGGGGAAAGATTCCCCGTTGGAGGGGTGTCTTGCAACAGTGCAAGCGTCTGCTGGGTGGACAGATACAAGTCCGTACCCTGATGAGGAGAAGTTGAGCAGCCTGACCGAGCAGAGTGAGTCACAGAATCGCCAGCATGTCCTTGTGTAGCCACTGCTTTTTCTGTGACTGTGGGTTAGGCTGAGGGACAAAAGGCGGGCATCTGGGTTCCAGAGGGCTTTGATGCCCCTTCCTCACTGGTCAGTGAGATCATACACGTGTGTGTATAACAGAGCATAAATGCGGAGCAGCTGTGATATATCTGTTACATAATAGTACTGCGCCTGCAGTAACTGCTAATCGTACTTGATGTTCAGTCGGGTACTGCTGTGAGCACTCAGCTCCTCTCAGCAACTCTACAAGGGCACCACCTTTAGTATCCCCACTGTCAGAAGAGGAAACTGAGGCACAGCAAAGTGGGGTGGCTTTTTACAGAAGAGGGACCGAGGCACAGCACAACGCAGTGACCTGCTCAAGGCCCCACAGGAAGTAGCTATGCCAGGACTGGAGGTCAGGCACTGTGGCCCTGGCGCTTTGTCCTTCTTCTAGGCAGCCTGGCCTCGACGCAGGAAGCCAGTTCCTGAGGGTAGAGCAGGTCTGGACCGGCTGGGGTGCCAGCACTTCTAAGCAAAGGAGGCAAATTGGAGTGTCCCAGACGTGAGCATTCCCACGCCTGCTGGGGTGAAGGGGAACAGCGCACGGGAGTGTTTTGTGTGCATTCCAAGTGTAGTTTTTGCTGCAGCAGCGCTCTCCCCATTTGCAGAGAGTCCATGTCTGTGAATGCTGTGTGCTGTTGCACTATCTATTGTCCTAGTCGAATTAATAGTAATACTTTCTGTTACAGTCACCGCAGTGTCCCCCCATGCAGGAAGCCAGCTGCGCGCCGTGGGACTAGGAGGGCATCACCGTGGTGTTGGTACTTCTCGAGTACCTTGTGTTTCAGGCTCTCCCCCTCTGCGTAGTGGGGTCTTTGCTCCTGCAGTCTTTTGGTTTTTGTTGTCTGTCTGTCTGTCTGTTCTCCCCCTCTGCGTAGTGGGGTCTTTGCTCCTGCAGTCTTTTGGTTTTTGTTGTCTGTCTGTCTGTCTGTTCTTGCATTCATCTCACCGAGGCTGTGCCCTCATTGGGATCCCAGCACCCTTACTCCCCACCGTGAATGGCCTCTGTCTTGAGGCCTGTAGTCCAGACTCCAGGGACAGACCCCACCTGTACACTTGCCCCGATGCAGCCAGCAGTCAGGCTCCAGGATGCCCGGAGCTGCCGCTGCATGGGCATTGATCCGGCCTCTTAGTTGACTGACTTTACGAGCCCTTGGCTGGGGAGATACCTGCGGTTATGGGGCGTTTGTGTCTGGTGGTGCCAGGCTTGTGTGTGCTGTCCGGCTCCTTGCCGAGGCTGGGGCGACTTCAGGGTGAGAGAGGGAGCGTCATGACTCCTCCGGCAGCTGCTGCCCTCACAATACTGTGCAGATGCAGGTGCACTGCCACAACGGGCATGGGGCCGGTTGGGCAGAGGCAGCGGGCGTTTCTTGGAGGCTTTGGGGTCAGAATGGGCACAGCTGTCACCCCTGGCTGTGGTGTACCCAGCCGTCCCAGCCAGCCTGTCTGCTGTGGGTGTCCCAGGGTGTCCACGAGGCCTGTCCCGTGTTGTGTGTGATGACGTGTGCATGCGTGACCCATGCCAGTTGGTTCTTTTCCAACTGGAACAGTCCCCTGCTCTCAGGACAAAAACAGCCTGAGGCCTTTTTCCCTTGCAAGTTGGAGCGCCTGCTGTGAGGGAGAGAGCTCCAGATGCAGCCCAGTTCAAGCCTGCGCACTCCTCAGGGCTGGCCATGTGCAGCGAAGCCCGTCCCCACTCTGGCCCCTCTGTCTGCTGAGCAGTGCCGGTGCCTACACAGGGTCGCGTAGAGCCACACAAGGAGGAGGGCCGCATAGATGGCCCTCCTTGGGGGCGTCCCCGGGGGAGCAGCCTTCAGTGGACTGGATCTGGGGGGCAAGGAAGCTTCTCGCGAGAAGTGGCACCCTGTAGCCTTGAGCACACACACCCATGGGGGACAGGTCCTGGAAGTTGCTTCCTGGCAGAGGAAACAGCTGGTTCTTCTGCCCCTTGGTTGAGTGGCCCAAACAAGCCCCCAGCCTCTGGTCGTGCTGCCTGTGTGTGAGCCAGCTCCGTTCCTGTCGGCATTTACCCAACAGCATTGCAGGGGACTGTGTTGCCTGCCATACCGGGGCAGCCAAGCCATCCCAGTGACCTCTGCCTTTCCTCTTTCCAGCTGGAGGAGGCGGAGCACTTTGCCATGATGGTGATCGGCCTTGGTGAGGAGGCTGGGGAGTTCCTCCCCAAGGGCTACCTGGCCCTGGGTCTCACCTACAGCCTGCAGGCCACTGACGGTAAGTGCCAGGCCGTGGGAGGCCTCTGCCTGGGAACAGAGATTTGCTTCCTGACCCCAGAGCATCATGTCCCACTAGCGCCCCATCCCTCTCAGTCTTCACAGACACCATCCACTCAGGGATAGATGCACTTTGTGTGTGTGCGTGCGTGTGTGTGTGTGTGTGTGTGTGTGTACGCACACGCGCGCACACGCACGCACACACGCATGCTCCCTTGGCCAGTACCACTTCTGCTCTTGCTCCGATGGTCTCAATCCAACACTACTCCTCTGCGCTAGGAGTCTGTCTCTCCTCCTAGGCCTGGTGAGCCCCTCAGAGCCAGGCTGCTATGTTCTGTGGGCTCTTGGTGCCTTCTTTTAAAAATGCTTTTTGTTTTTTTGAGAGTGAGTCTCACTATGTAGTCCAGGCTGGCCTTGAACTCACTGTGTATCCCAGGCTGGCCTTAAACTCATGGTGATGCTCCTGCCTCAGCCTCCCAAGTGCTGGAATTACAGGTGTGTGGCACCACACCCGTCCTCCTAGGGCCTTCTGTGTGGGGTGCCCGTGAGCCCTCCACCCCACTGTGGCTTCATTCTCATTCACTGCTGTGATCTTCTGGGGTCTTTTAATTCCCCTTCCCATATGGCAGTGCTGGATACACAGCGAGTATCTAATAACTTGTGTTTAGCTGGTAGATTTCATTCTTTCTTGCCCTGGCCCTGCCAGCTCAGCCCAAGCCTTCCCCATGGATCCAGCAGGCACCCCCTTTGGTGTCTGTTACAATCACTGTCTTTGCTCCTGGGACACCATCGACTTGCGGAGGAGAGGTTTACTTGGCTCACGTTGCTAGTCTGTAATCGGCTGGCTCCAAGCCAGGAAGGCACGGTGGAAAGGCCGGGGAGGGAAGGTGGCTCACATCATGGCAGCCAAGGAGCACGGAGAGAAATGAGCAGCTGGGGAAGGAGATTTCTGCTCACGCCCCCAGTGACCTGCCTCCCCCAGTCAGGCCCCGCCTCTTAACACAAAATCAGAATAGCACCCCCAAATTCAGTCACCTTCCAAAAGCCCTGCCTCGGAGTACATGAGGTTCTTGGGGGGACATTTATGTATAAAACGTAACAGTGTCCTTGCAGCCTGTCGGGAATGATGGGTGCCCAACTCTGATCTAACCTGGAGTTGGATGGGCCCTCGCCCACCTCCCTGAGTGCCAACCCCCAGGAGTTCCTCTGTGCCAGGCCTCAGAGGCCCCTTCCAGCCTGACTTGTCCAAGGAGGAGAGGATGCCACATAAGGGAGCCTGGAGCAGGCCTAGCTCCTGCTTCTCAGAACTGACAGTCACAGTGTTGAAGACATCCATGAGCCCTGCCTGGGCTGGTGAGGGAGGCGCCAGTCCCTCCGTCACAGCCAGCTTGAATCAGAGCAGCCTCCTTGCCTTGTCCCCGTCTAGGCAGCGGCTGTATGTGTAGCTTTCTAAGCTGGAGAGCGCTGGCAGCTCTCAGCACCTGCTCCTTCCCAGCAGGACCAGGTCCGGCCTGGGTGGGGCTGGACGTAGTCATGGGAAAGCTCTCCCGGGTGCTCAGCCCAAGGCCGAGAACACCTGCCTGGCTGCATTTAAAGCCAGGTGCCATTTACAGGGCAGGTTAACAGTAGTGGGTGGGAATGAAGCCAGGAAGGCACGTGGTAGCTTTTTCCTACAGTCTGGGGCCCCCTGGGTGAGATGCCTAGGTTGCAGAGTGCTTGTGGGCTTGGGCCTCTGAGTGGGCCAGCTTGGTGCGGGCAGCAGGGAAGGTAGAGGGAACCAGTATGCCAACGCCATGCCAGGAGGCCAAGGTGACAGAGAGTATCAGCTGGGCCTCCCAACCTTGAGGTTTTCCAGGCAGGGCCCCTTGGGTTCCTCCCTACAGAGCTCCTGTGCCCTGGGGGTCGGGGGAGGACTGGGATATACGGCTTGATGTCCATCCTGTCTTCCACAGCCACCCTGAAGTCTAAGCAAGATGAACTGCACCGGAAGGCGCTGCAGACACTGGAGCGGTGAGGAGGCCCTCGTTCACCGCTGGCCCCCTTATGCACTGGGGGGCATGAGATGGCATTTCACCACGCTTTATCTCACGTGACTCTGCTGTTTTCATCTCTGTGAAGTGGGATTTCTGTTTCCATTTTGGACTGGTGAACTAAAGCACCGAGAGGTCCTCCAACAGAGGCAGGCTGTCCTCAGCTCCGGGGCTCTGGCTCTCAATGCTGGTGAAACCAGATGGTTAACTAGGAGCTGGGGCTACAGCCACCATGCTCGGGGCTCTGCAAGGGGAATGATAACCCACAACTGTCATGATAATTACGTGAGACAAAGCAGGAAAAGCACCTGCAAAGTCCTGCATTTAGCAACCATAAACAGTGTTTGCCTCCTTCCAGCCCTTCCTGGTCACCATAGACCTTAGCAGAGACTTCCTGGCAGCCTGAGTCCCAGGCCTTTATTCTCTGTACCCCACCCCCAGCCTCTGCCTCACACCGGAACAGTGTCCTCTTCCTGTGTGACTTGCTCCCTCTGAGACACGGAGGTGGCAGTTCTGTTGGGTGGCGCCTGGCCGGAAGCCTTGTGCTAGCTTTGCACTCTAGCTCCTGTCGGAGCAGGTTCCAGTCCGAGGCCCCCGGAGCTCTGGGGAATGGGGGGCTTTTACCCTCCACCCTCGCCCCACCTGCTCTTTATTCTGAGGGCTTCTTGCTAGGGGACCGTGCCTCACCCTCTCCTGCAGGAGGCATTGCCCTCTGTCCTTTGGTGCGCAGGCTGACACACGCTCGAGGCCGAAGGCTGGGCCTGTGTTGTCTGTGCTGTCTGTCCCCGCCCCAGGGCTCCTTCCTTCAGGTTGTCACCTTGAGGCTCCCATCCCAGGTGGCCCTCCCTCAGCTGGTGAAGCCCTCAGAGCCGCCGTTCCTGCCTTGGCTGGCTGTGGGTCTTCTGCCTGTGCCATTGTCTCCCGGCTGTGGTTGTGCCCCTCCAAAGCGGCCCTGGCAGAACCCTGAGCACCCAGCACAGAGATGGCATTGCAGGGAGCCCAGGTCACATGCGGTTGCTGTTTTTGGCAACTGATCTGTCATTCTCTCTCCCCACACAGAGCCCAGAAACTGGCGCCCGAGGACCCCCAAGTCATCCTCTATCTGTCCCTGCAGCTGGCCCTCGTCCGACAGGTGGGTTAGCACAGTTCCTAACCCCCAGGGCCCTGGGGCGCCCACCTCCTGGCAGCTCCGCTTACCAGCTGCGGCTCACCTGCAAGTGACTTGACCTCTCTGAGCCTCTGCTGTCTTATGTGTCACGTGAGCATGTCTGTGCCCTGCTCTGGGGGCCCAGCGGGGGTGTGGTCAGCGAGTAGGGACAGAGTCCTGGCCCCTGGCAAGCACCCGCGAAGGGTGTGCTCAGCTCTGCCTCCTCTGGAGCAGGGCAATCTCCCGAGAAGTTCACACGTGATCCCAACCATAGCTGCGTGAGTCCTGGCTCCCCTAACCTTTTCCTGAGATCCAGGAGGAACAGTGATTGGCACACAGTGCTCTTCCTGGGCGGCTTTTGATGTGACCTCAGATCCTGCGGCCACCACCCTCAGGCCTCTGCTGCTGGGGCCTGACAGGGGCCTCCTGTGCACTGACCCCCTCACCCTGCGGGGATCACTGCCACCACCCAGGCCTCTCCCCCAGGCGTGCCTGCTTCCCCAGGCTGAGGCAGCGGGCCCAGACAGGGCTCAGACAGGGCTCCCCACTCCGAGCCCTCAGACGCTGCTCTGCTGTGTGCACCCTGGCCCGGAAGCCCCAGTGTCTGTGAGGGCCCCAGCGCGTCAGGGAACCCACACTCCCTTGAGCTCCTGCTCCAGAGCCGGGCCTCGGTCCCGCTTGGAGATGGCACCTGGGTGCTGTTCTACCTGGGTCTTCATTCGGCTCCAGACCTTCCTCCTGTGGCTTGGGGGCAGCGGGACCCTGCACCCCGTGCCTGCGTCACCCTCCCTGGAGCTCTCATTGGCCTGGCCCCTGTGATCACTGCACAGCTCTCACTGCTGCTGCTGGGACCACGCCCCTCTCTCACCCCACACCTGGACCCTTGTCCCAAGCCCGCTGTCACCTGTCCTGACTCATCACTGTCTCCCTCTGTGTCCTTCTGTCCCCGCCGTTCTCTCCCCCGTAGCCCTGCTGTCCCTCCTGCTGTCCCTCCTGCTGTCATCTGCTGCCTCCCCTTTCCTCTTGCACCCCCTCTCCATGACTCACTCGGCCCCTCCTCTTCCCCCACGCTCCTGACTCCGCCCCGGACCAGGCACTGGGCCACTCTGTGCCTCTCAGCCCGCGTCACTCTGCCCCCAGGAACGCGGAGGGGAAGATACCTGAGACAGCTTTATTTTTAGTGCTCTGTAAAAGAACCTGGTGCTTTTCTTGCCAATCAAGTTAGGGATAAACCTTGGGGTGACACATTTTTTAATCTGTTTAATTATTCATCTGTCTCTGATGAACGGTGCCCATCTGCAGAGAGAGGCACCTGGTTGGCCAGGCTGTTGGAGCCTGGTGCCCAGTTTTCCTTGGGAACCCCAAGTCTTGTCAGCCCCTGAATGGACTCTCAGAACTGGCCTGGAGCTTGTGATCCTCTTGCATCAGCCTCACAAGGATGCTGCCGTGCCTGGCTGAGGAACGAAAACAGATGCGTTGGCTGGGTGTATTATCTTAACAGGAGAGCACATGCTTGGCATGTGAGCGACCCTGGGCTCGATTCCCAGCACCAAAAGAAAAAGAAAGAAAAACGAAGGAAGGAAGGAAGGAAGGAAAGAAGGAAAGAGGCAAGGTTCCAGTGAAGACAGAGCACTGCTGCAGGCAGTCACAGGAGCTCAAGTGTCTCTGAGTTTGAGGGCAGGCATGAGGGAGCGTGGCCTCAGGACAAGCTGGAGGGTCTTCCTCGTTCCTTAGGGGCAGCACCTTGGAGGCTTGCAGAGGGAAACCTGCCCTTGCCGAGCACCCTGTGCCCGCACTCTGCAGGGTGTCTCCCCTCAGTGTCGCAGCACTGCAGTAGGTAGAATCGTTCTCATTTCGCTGCAGAGGAAGCACAGCTCGAAGAGATGAATCCCTTTGCCCTGGGTGCCAGCTCGCCAGTGGCAGAGCTGGGCTGCTTGTCCCCACCTGACTCCAGAGCCTCAGCTCTTGCCTCAGCCAGCATCTGAATGGGAGGAGGTTTACCCAGCAGTCAGGTTGTTGGGAAATTCCCCAGTGCCACCAGAGTGGGTGCCTAGCAGACTGTGACAGAGCCACCACCTCCCGGCCGCTGCCCTCCATCCCTACGTCGTCATTGCCTCCATGGCTGCTAGGGGGAGGGTGACAGTTAGCAGTGCTGGGGGATAGGAGGCTTGTGGACCTTGGGAAACTGGGCCAGATTGGAGGTGCCTGGAACCGAACAGTGAGGATGGCAGTCAGTGTGCTGAGTCCACAGCACGAGAAGAAGCTGGCCTTGACCTGGGACGGGCTGATTCCAGACGCCTGTCTCCACCACAGCCCAGCCTGTGCGAGGCGCAGCCTGTGAGAGCTCACCTGGGAGCTCTGGCCAGACTCAGGACCCTGGTGGGGGCTCAGCTGTAGTGCCCGCCAGCTCCACAGTGCTGAGCCTCTCCACTTGCTCCGGAACATTTGGAAAGAGGCAGGGGTAGCAGATAAGCATTTCACTTGTGTTTATAGTCGCTCTGTTCACCCCGCTAAGGTCAGGCCTGTGCTCACTGCAGGGAGGTGGAGCTCAGGGACAGCTAGAACTCAGCCCTCATCCCTCCAGGAATTCACAGAACTCCGTGGTTTTTGCAGGATGCCCCCCAGCCCGAAAGAGCAACATCAGTGGGTACAGGTGGCAGGTGGCAGCTCAGAGCAAGAGGCCCTGTGCATGTTTGGTGGGGAGGGAGATGGCGTAGAAGGCACAGGGCTGCCCCGCAGGTCACATGGGACCGCTTAAGGAGCACTGCAATCACTGCACTCGGCCTGTTTTGAAGAAGAGTGTTTACATTGGTGACTGCCAGAATTCTTTTTACTCCTTCGTGCTTGTGGAAACTTTCCCCAGACCCTGCCAAGGGTGTGCAGGCCGGGCCCTGTGGGACCGAGAGCATTTCTCAGAGCTCGCCACCCTCCCTGGCCGAGCAGCAGGTGGGGTGGGGATGTTTGGAGTTGAAATGGTATGGGGAGAGCTGCTTTTCAGGGGGCGGTGTAGGGCTCAGCCTCTGGGTGCTTGCTAAGAGTTCAGAATGGTTTCTTCAGAATGGTTCCTGCACCACCTCCACCCTCTGGGTTCTCAAGGAACAGGGCTCCATCCTGGTGAGGTAGGGGGTGTGGCCAGGCCCCGGTGTGGCCTTAGCCCTGTGGAGGCCTGGCAGAAGTTGACCCCATGACCGTGTCACGGCTGCAAAGACCCAGTACCCAGCTAGATTTGCTAGGGTAACAACGTCCACCAGCTGGGCTGGTGGGAGCAGTAGAAGCTGCCCGTCTCCACTGTGCCTGTCCCTTTTGGGCTCAGAGCAGCCTGGCCCGCACTCTTTCACGAAGATCCCAGGAAGGCAGGCAAACCAGCGCTGGTAGAGGCTGGGTCCAGGTGGCCATGGCTCTCTCCACCCCTGGAGCAAAGGCTTTCCTGCAGCTACCCCCAGGGGGCGCTGCAGCGGCTCCTCAGACCCCACTTGTGGCTTCCTGACCCTGCCTGACCCCGCCAAGCCCTGCCTGACCCGGCCTAGCCCTGCCTGTCCAGACTTGGAATCAGGCTTAGTAATTATTAATTGAGATGAGAAAAGAGAGAGAAAAGGAAGGGAGAAAGGAAGGGGGGAAGGGAAAAAGAAAAAGGGAGGGAGGAAGGGGACTAGAATGTGGCCGTACCCCTTTTCCTGAGCGCGCCCCTCTGCACCATTTGTGCACCCCTGGGCAGGACTCTGCCAGGCTTCTGCACGCAGCCTGGCCCCGTCTCCCTAGTGCTTCCTTCCTAGTGGAGGAAGTGCTTCCTGTTGTCTGCCCACCTCCCCGTGCTGCGCCATGAAGCCGCTCCCTCTGTCCCCACTGGAACAGTCCCTCCATGCCAGGCTGTTTGGGGGAACGTGTTTGCTCACAGCGCCATCCCTGTGTCCCAGGGCCAGGGTCCACTTGAGGGGACCCTCGGGGGCCCTCCCGGGCTGCCATCTGGCACTGGGGTCTGGGGAAGGCCCCTAAGCTGGCGGTTTCCTCTGGCAGATCTCCAGTGCCATGGAGCAGCTGCAGGGGTCCCTGACAGTGTGCAAGGACGATGCCAATGCCCTCCATCTGCTGGCACTGCTCTTCTCCGCCCAGAAGCACTATCAGCATGCCCTGGACGTCATCAGCATGGCCATCACCGAGTACCCCGAGAACTTCAAGTGAGTTCCCTTTGGACAGTGCCGGGTTGGGGCTGGCTGGCCATCAGCACAGGGGCCAGCACGCCTGGCGTAAACCCCCTGCGCGCACGCTCCCTGGGAGGAGAGAGAAGGGCGTGGAGGGCCACAGGTGGCTGTGTGCGGGACTAGGGGCGTGGTGAGCCTGTGGTCTCCTTGGGACTGGGGCTCCAGGGCTGTGGAAGAGAAGGCACTGGGGTGCGTGTGCACTGTGTAGTGCGTCCCCTACCTCCACCCCAGCCTGGCTGTGTAGCTCCCAAGGCTACCAAGGCAGGTAACTTCATCATGACCCTGACATGGCCAGCCAAGGATGGGGCCGAACCCTGGCCAGGCTGGAGGAGGCTGAAGGAGCCATCCCCCAGCCTCCACGCGAGCCGCCTGGCTCCCTGCTACTGTCATTAGGGGCAGGTTATCTCCCCCCACCCCCGGTCCTTCGCTGATTGCAGTACACCAGATGCCCTGTTTCTCAGAGCAGGGTTCAAATTTCACTTGGTGCAGTTTGCACGGGCTGCAGTGGGTGGGGTAGGACTAGATCCTTCTGCCTCTACCCATACCTAGAGGACCTCTGCCACCAGCCAGGACACCGGGAACAAGAACTGTGCAGGGCTCCTGCCTGCCTCCTCTCACGAACCCCAGGATAAGGAGACCCTGAGCACCGTCACTCCCACTCCATTCACCTTGGGGTCTGAACCAGCCCAGGGCTGCCCCACAGCACACCGTCAGGAAGACACTGGGATCCTGGTCACCCTAAGAGGTGATTCCGCGGCAGTGTCACCAGGTTCACAGAGAACTAGGGAAGATCGGGCATCGCCACCCTGGAGGCACCCTTTTGGGGGCACGTGGGCCAACCACGGGGGCGAGGCTTGGCTCCCCTGTGCGCTTGGCCTCCGTCAGAGGAGGCTGCAGGCCATTCTGCTGTGGCCTTTGCCAGGCTGCTGGAGACTCTGGGTGGTCTCTTCTTGCCAGGGCCAAAGAAATGTGGTTTGGGCACAGCAGGGTTTCCTGCTCATCAGAAGCCCCGAGCCTCGCCTGGCTAACTCTGCAGACTGACCCCCGCCTGCGGCACCTTGGCTCCCCGCCTGCCCAGGCAGGTCCCAGCTTAACCTGCTTGTGTTGGAAGGATGGCCCTGATTCTGAGCTTCAGTTTAAGATTCTGAAGTACAGTACAGCAACCTTAGGTCATAATAGTTTAATTTGTCATTTAGAATGAAAATGCACAAAAAGCAAAGGTTCTCTCTCCCAGAGCCAGTACCTTGATTTTTTTCCAAATTTCATCTTTACACCTCTCTCTGGCAGGCTCTGACCCATTGCTGCTGTGTGTGTCTCCTTGCATGTGTGTCTGTGTGCACCTGCATGTACATGTATGTACTTGTGTCCATGGAGTGTGTGCACGTGTTTGCTCTTGCCAGTTAGGCCTCAGTGAAAGCAGAAGTAGTCAAGAGAAAAACTTCGAATCCTGATTGAGGGCGGGAAGGGGCTCCTCAACCCCCCCACTACCCTGGGGCCTGAGTGTGTTATTGAGGAAAAAAGGTGCAAGCCCAGGCTTTGTGGCAGTGTTTTATCAGCGGCGCATTTCAAGCTGAAGTCCTGCATGGAAACGGAAAACAAGAATGAAAGGGAAATCGGCTCTGCACAGTCGACCCCTCCCGGTACCCTAGTTCCACCTAGGGGTCTGTTCTGCTCCTGCACCTGGCATTTGCAGCTCCCTGTCACTTCCTAACACTGGCCCACAATGGGAAAGGCCAGTGTGGGGGTGTGCTGCAAGTAGGGTCTGTCCAGTCCCCTGGCTTCCCCTTAGCTCCGCTTGCCCACTTCAGGGAGGTGACTTCCGCCTGCACCACCTCCATCCTCCAGGGCCCAGGGCTGGGCTTGGAGGCCCCTGTTGCATCACAGCAGTGTGTGAACTCATCACTGCCTTCTTGATTTCCTTTCCACCCCTCCCCTCCCACCTCACCAGGACGTTCCCACTCACTGCGCGGGTCTGAAAGGCAGAGGGTCCTGGCCCTGAGCCTGCTGCCTCCCACACGAGGCCCGTGGGTGGACATGACTGAGAACATTTTGTGGGTGTGTGCTTGCATGCATCCGGCAAGATGGCTTTTAGCAGGTTCTCAGAGGGGCTGAGCTCCAGAAAGGTGCAGACGGAACAGGCAGCCTGACTGCCCCCCTACTCCTCCAGGCTCACAGGGACCTGCCGCAAAGCAGCGTCCCCACTTCTGCCGGCTGAAACCTTAAGGGGGCAGCCTCTGCCAGCGGGGCAGCTCACCCTTACAGATGTCTCAATCCGGGTAATCACGGGGCTTAAGGGGCTGCACAGGCTGAGACTTCTCGTGTTCTTTGTCCCGTCTCTGCAGTGACGTGCTGCAAAGCATTTGGGGACTAGGGTGTTCCACCCCAGGAGCACTTCCCTTTTTCCTGTCCATCCGGGGGTCAGTAGAGAAGTAGTAGTTCTTTATCTTGAGTCACCATGAGCCCGAAGCCTCCCGGACCAGGAGAGCTCTGTTTTGATCAGCACTGGCCCTAAAAGCCCATAAAACTAATTAGAAAAGATAGGGACTTCTGGCCCCCAAGACTGTGAAAAAATAACTCTTGTTTTAAGCAAAAAAAAAAAAGGAAAGAAAAAAATAGTATATACATGTATATGTGGCTGTGGTGGGGCTGGGGGACCCACCCACCTCCAGCTCTGTTGTGTGACCATATCACTTTGCAAAACAAGTCAGAACTGTTCCCCAAAGATGAAACCCTGGCGTACAGAAACCCATGGATTAGCAGGAAATGTCATTGAGTCCATTACGGGTCAGGATTGCTGAAAAATGTCATTGCTCTTCGATTGACATTGCATCCTGCCTCTCCAGCTGCTCCCTACACTGGGAACAGGCTGTGCAAGGCTCCCGCTGTTGCCAAGGCAATTAATTACACAACTGGTCCAGTAAATACTGCTCAGCAAAACAACACAAAGCAAATCCCCTTGACCCTGACCTCGTCGTCCCCAGTAGGGTCTGTTTTCAGGGGATGCTTAGAGGCCCACGTACAGGTCTGTTCACAGAACCCTTCTGGAGGCTTTTGTCCCTGGGAAGGCCGTACCTGCCTTGCGCCCCAGGCTGCCGGAGGGGGAAGGCCCTGACAGGCTGGTGTTCAGGTTCTCGCCTTTCCTGTCACTTTGGCGCACAGGACGGACCTCATCCATGCGAACTGTCCCTGTGTGAGAGCCGTGGTGAAGTCCTTCCCTTGACTCTGTCTCCTTCCCTTGAGCTGAGCAGCCCGCTCCTGCGTGGAAAGACAGCCGGTGTCTGTCCTGGTTCCTCCCGTCCCTCAGGTCTCCTCTGAGGCTCAGCCCAGAGAAGGTCATGCAGCTGATCAACAGGGTGGCCAGGGTGGCAATGGAGGCAGAGGGTGGCCACAGACAGTGTCACACCGACACCTGGGACCACGGGTGGCAGTGCTTGCAGTGATCCCGGGGGATGGAAGGGGGAGGGGCCTGGCAAGGTAGGCCCTGACGGGAGGGGCCGTGCCCTCTGGGAAGAGTTCTGTAAGATCCTGCGCCAGAGGCAGCATCTAGACTCGCAGAGCAAAACCCGGCTTCCCTGAGTCAAACTTCTGAAAATCCTTCTGCGTTCGGGGATTAGAAGGCAAAGCTGAGAGGCTCTTGATGTCCGTGCTGCGGGATGACCTTTAGTTAGTGGAGCTCAGGCTCTAAAAGGCAGGAACGTGACGCGGCGGAGACTGATGGGCCCTCGGGGACAGTGTGAGCCTGGTGCGGTGGGAACCAGACACCCTGGGCAGCTTTCTCAAATCCTGCGGGCTTCTTGCTAAGCCCCGGACACATGTGCTGGCCGGGCCGTGCAGCCAGCCAGGCGGCCCAGGCCTGCAGGGGGCCTCCGGTCCACAGCCTCCCTGTTTGGAATGTGAGAGGCTCTAAGCGAGCCCCGAGGGGATGTCTCTCCCGGCCCTTTCTTTCCATCTGGGGTGGGGGAGGCAGCTGGGAGGCCTGAGCAGGGCAGGGCAGGAATACGGGTCAAGGGGAATGGGCCACTGATAAGCGTCCTTCCCGAGGCCATGGGCACTGTCAGGGATGGTTTTAGGTAACAGATTCCTTGTGCTTTAGTCAGGCCCTTGGAGTGAAGGTCGCCATAGCAACCAAACAAAGTTCTTGGGCTAATGATGGGAGCTTTCCAATAACCAGCCTGTCAGTCACGCCCCTGGCAACCTGCCCCACTGCCTTTGAAGGCCCAAACCATACACCTAAGGCAGCTGAGAAGCAAACGGTCTCTCTTCCCGCTCCCCAGTGAGCAAGGCCACCTCCTCCCACCCACCCCCGCTCCCTAGGGGTCAGAGGAGACTCTCTTGGGAGTTCCTGCTGATCCAGCCCTGATCCTAGGAGACTTAGAAAGTCCTGGGGGAAGGTCTTCTGGAGCCCCAGCAAGGGAATAATACGGCCCTCGCTACAAGCCAGAGCTTGCCAACCATAAACAAATGAATGAGCACAGCCATTCGCCCCAGGAAACCTAGACTGTTTTGGAAAATGTTTGATAACTAGGCATTAGCTGGAGCCAGACCTTGGTAAAGTTCTGGTAAAGTTAAACCTCTAGGGCACCTCTCTGATCTACCTGGCTGGCCTCGCTTATTTTTCAGATTGTGTGTGACACATTCCTAGTGGTGCATTCCGCTGAACAGAAGGGATCAGAGTCCTGGGGTGTCTGTTAACGTTTCTGCCCTAAAACCCTGTGTGTTTAATTGTTCTTATTAAGGACTTGTGGTACATCAGAAGGATGCTTAAAATTCCAGCACTCCACTGAGAGGGGTGGAGGCAAATGTACGAACACAAACATAGTTTATCACTTTCCTGCGTTCGGTAAGCATGTTTGCCAGCCACGGTGCCTGCAGACACCAGACATGGGGCCAAATGGTGTGCCGTGGGGCCAAGGGCTGTGTTAGGGCACGCACGGTCGCTGCCGGCTGGACCCTTCCCAAAGGCCGGTTCCTTCTCAGCAGGCAAGGCTGCCATTCAGTGTTTCTCCTGGTACCCACGGGCACCCCTGTGGTCTTGCTCTGTGTGACAGTGTGGAGTGGAAGGTGCGGCCTCAGCCTCTGGGATGCGGGCTGCTCACACCTGAACCTGGAAGGGCAGGTGCCCTGGGTCGTTTTGTTTGTCTGGGGAAGAGAGGAGGGAGGCCAGATACTTGCACGTTTTCCAAAAGGAGTTCTTCCGCGGTCTTCAAAGCTGGTTTTAGCTCTTGGTTCCCCTGTAGCTCTTGGCTCACCCTGCTTCCACCTGGGCTGGAGGTGGCACAGTCGGGTAGGACAGTGGTTCTCTGTCATGTGGGGCCTTGTCCCCAGCGGAGTCTTGATGTGCCAGGGCTAAGCTCCCTTTGCACAAGGAGGCCAGGGCGCTCAGCCTGCTCCCTGGGAGAGATAATGACTGGTGGCTGGCCCGTGCAGGACGGGACCACATATGTTCTATCCGCACACCTTTCTGCAAGGTCTTCTTTGTTGAACAGCTCCGTACAGGTTCTGTGCGGTTTGTGTTGGAGTCAGGCAAGGTCAGGAGCTGGAGAGCCATCTGGAGTTCACTGGAGGTGGCCTGCAGGGAGGCCCGACCAGGAAGGTTCAATTTCTATTTCCTCATTGCGAGGTGGAGGATCATCACGACCCTTCAAGGATTAAGGGACGTGGGTCAGCATGATCTTCCAGGCCCTGGGACAATCACTGATTTTAGAGGGAAGAAGAGCTGCTGAAAGGTGTCCCTTCTGTGCCAGGGTTTAGTCTCTGGGAAGGTCGGGGCTTGTGCTAAGGACGGCACTCCCTCTTTCAGAGCCCCTGTAACAATCGCACCCTCAGAGAGTGTGTGTGCCAGTTGAGTGAGTCCGTCTCCCTGTTGGAGCCTTTTCCTGAGCCGTGAAATTTGGAGGAGTCTAGGAGGTCCATGTGGCTCCATGTGTCCCTGCGTCCTGGCCAGGGCAGGGGTGCCTGTGGGAGCCAGGCAACTGGAGGCCAAATAGGGCCCCAGAGAGCAGTTCCAGCTCCCTCCCTTCTCCTCGCTGCTCTCCTGCCGTGTGAGGGGGACCACTGTGCCTGGCCAGGGCCCCTCCCACCACTCATACCTCTCCTCCGTCCACCCCCACCACCACAGGACTCCAGAGCCGGGCACCCAGCACACCCCAGGAGAGCCTCAGTCTGAAGGCCAGGGGAGCGGGCGTGATGGTGCACGCCTGTAATCCCAGCATTCAGGAGGCTGAGGCAGGAGGATCACTGAGTCTGAGGCCAGCCTGGGCTGCATGAGCAAGTTCAAGGCCAGCCTGAACTGCATAATGAGACCCTGTCTCAAAAAGAAAGGGAAGATCTGGCCAGCTCACAGCCCTCATCCTGTTCTGTTGTTTGTTAACGTGTGCCCTGTTTGTTGGTCTTTCGTGTGTGCACATATGTCTTCATAAGGATTGAACCCAGGGCCTTCACACTGAGCTGTCCTTTTTTTTTGTTTTGAGAGAGGGTCCTGATAGGTCTCTTAAGTTGCCCGGGCTGAACTCAAACTTCAGGTCCTCCTGCCTCAGCCTCCTACAGTGCTGAGATTACAGGTGTGTGCCACCAGACCCAGCTTGTGTTTGTTGGTCTTTACAGCACTGCTGTTACAGTATAAGGAAGCTGGGCCGACAGTGGCCAAGCAGAGACTAGAACCCGTGCCAACGGACAGCTGGACAGCCTGGCAGGCTGGAAGCCTGGAACTTGGCCAAGCACAGTGGCCACTCAGCACTGGCCTGTGCGGGCCCTGCCGTAAGCAGTGACCCCACATCCCCTCAGCCACCCAGGAGGCACAGGAACCATTGCTCTTCTTCCCATTTTAAAGATGAGGAAAGGCAGCAAAGTGAAATCTGCACACAGTAAAAGCCGGGTACATAAGGATGGCAGGGCAGACATGGGAGGATCCCTTTGTGACGTGCCAGCCTCCGCCGGGCTCCCCCACCCCACCCCAGGGAACTGAACCCATTTAAAGCAAGCACTTCCCCTGGGAACTACACCCCCAGCCCTTTTATAAAACTTTAAGGCAATGTCTTACTACACTGCCCTGACTGGCCTGGACTTGCGATCTTCCTGTCTCTGCCTCCCACGTGACTGGGATTATAGGCCTGTGCATTTATTTCTACACAGCAGTCTCAGGGCCAAGAGCTGTTTTTCTTCCCATTTTACAAATAGGAAACTTGAGTCTCGGAGAAGTTCAAGGCCAATGGCTAGAAGAAGGGACGTGGGGCACAGGTGTTGAGCCCTGCGTTCTATCTCGGAGTGCGTCTCGTTGTGGCCGAGGGTGGGGCGCCCGCTGTGGGTGCCTGTGCTGAGCGAAGGCTCTGGCCTCCTGGCCAGGCGGCGAGACTTTCCAGAGGCGTGGCCGCCTGACTCAGAGAATAGCCTGCTTTTTCACTCAATTATGTGTTTTCCATAAAAATAGAACTCTTCCTTAAAACAGCAAGGCATGGCCGTCAGCTGGAATTACTCACTGCTGTCCTGTAAAGCGGTAATAGCCCCTCTGTACATTCGCCACACCTGCTGCCCGCTTCACCCTGCAGGGAGGGCAGGAGCCAGGGGAGCAGGAAGAGCCTCTGCCCGGCCTCGAGCACCGCTGGACCGGTGGGGCAGCCGCTCTGCAGCCCAGCTTCCTGGGAGTTGCTCTGGTCCTGGGAACACCCGCGGCTTTCCAGCCTGGGGAGTCCTGTGGCTCAGCGTCCGCCTTGGTGCTTCAGCGCAGGTTTGCTGAATGACCTGAGGAAGGGCATTGCCGAGGCAGAGATGCAACTCTGCCCCTGCCCAGGTGCATGCAGGACCTGCGGAGACGGGTGTGAGGCGACAGCTGCTGTTTCTCCACCAGACACCGCGGCAGGCGCTGGCCCTGCCTTCTCCACTTCCCTCCATCTTCCATCGGCCCCCGAACCCGCACTGTCACCAGCCCGCTGTGCAGACCAGGCAGTGCGCCCAGGGAGGCTGAGGCGCTCACAGCGAACGGCAGAGCCTGGGCACGCCCAGTGTCCCATGTCCCACTGCACTGGGGAGTGAGCCAAGGGCAGAGGTGGCTTCCTCAGGTCCCTGACTGTCACCACATTCGAGTGTCTCTTTAAAGTGGGTGCTGAGTCACTTTAAAAATGTGAAAGTGAAAATGTGGACCTGAACCTGCTACCCGAGTCCTTCCCTGCCGCCAGCTCTGCACTGCCAGCAAGCTCATCCGCAAGAGCAGGTGCCGGGCTGAGCAGCTGGGCGGGGGCGGAGGATTGGAGCCCCTGGTAGAGGGCCAGTGGGATGACCTCTGACCCCAGCACAGTGTCTGCTTAACCAGAGACATCTGAGAAAGTCCCATCTGTAAAAGAATTCTTTTTGTTTTAGAAAGCTTTCAGAAAGCCCACGCTCACCAGTTCCGAGCAGGCTCACTCTACAGTGTCCTCTTCAGAGCAGTGAAAGGAAGTTGTCTCTGCTTCAAACCGGGAAGAGCTCCAGATCTTAATTCTTTTGACAAATAATTAGCAATCTAATCCTGGCCTGGGAGGAGGCCTGGGAAGAGGGAGGGAGAGGAGCGGATGCCAGCGTTCTCTCAGGAATCTTCCTCCTCAGCTCCTGGCCAGAGCCAGCAGGAAGGTCAGCTGAGAGCCTGGGCCAGAGCGTGTGGGTGCAGGGCAGGTGAGGTAGGCAGTTAGGGTGCCGCTGCCACAGGCCTGGCGCTGTTCTCCAAGGTGAAGCTCCTCCGTAGGAGTCTGTGCCCTGGCACCTGCTGGCACCAGGCACGCACATCTGGAGGTTTGAACGAGGCCTCGGGGAGCGGGAGGAATGAGGCACGTCCCCCGACCCGGCGTCGCGTTCTGGGGCCCCAGCGGTGGGAAAGGCACTGCACGTTCGTGCTGACCTTGCTCCTGCCCTCCCCAGAGGACACCCGCTGCGTACCTGCCTCAGACACCGCGGCGTGGCCAGGCCTGGGCCTCGGGAGACCTTGGTCTCTCAGCGCCCTGGGCTCAAGGAGCAGGATAATGCTGGCAGGAGGGGTCACAGCCAGGGATGACTGCACGCAACTTGGTTGTCAGGCCAGTGGGGCCTCTGAAAACCCCAGAGGCGCCGCTCCACACACTCCTCACAGAGCGCGCTAGGCTGTGGTTCAGGAGGCCCCGCCTGGAGCACCAGTGGCCGCAGTCTGGAGGACTGCATCACAGGGGTACCGCGGCGCACGCGTCATCAGGGCTCAGCCCGTGGGAGGCCTCGGGCAGTGACTTCCCTCCTATTTTAAGGCATGGAGCCAGTGATGTGCCCGGCTTGGTGGCAGCAGAGGTAGGACTTGGCCCGGGGCTTCTGACTCCTTGGCCAGTGTCTGTCCACTCTGGGTGACATCGAGGACAACATCCCTGTCCTGGAATAGCTCTTGTCAGAGGGCCAGAATATTGGCGGGACACTGGATATAAGCTTCCCAGTCTCACACTGTCCTCAGTTACACTTTGGGTCTTGCCCCATGGCTGTCCCCTGGGATTGAGACACATCCCTGCGCACTAGCACATACACACACGCACCCGCTGGGAGGCGCCAGGCACCTTCATGCCCTGGCTGTAGCGCACTGCTCCTTCTCCAGGCCAGTCACACACGGAGGGCAACTTCGCTGTGGATGGTTTGGGAGGGACAAGCCTGGCACTGGCTCCTCCATAGCTATGAGGACTCGTGGTCAGCTTCCAGGGGTGAGCAGGGTGGTGGGGAAGCCAGGCAGGGCCCCGTGCTGGAGGTACGCACCTTCCAGGTGGGACACAGGGCGGGGTAAATGACAGAGTTACCACCTATAGCCAAGACTAGCAATAGACGTTTTATAGAGTGTCATTTTAAAAGTGCTTGCTAGGAGCTTATCTTCATTAGTAAACTCTGCAGCATCTATACGTGGAGAGAGAATGTAATGAACCACAAGCTGAGTGAAGTCCTGGATACCAGGGAAAAGCCAAGATGGGCTTCATGGAGGGCCTTCTTGAGGGGAACTGTGGCCTCAAGGTTAAAGTAGTGATTGTTTTTGTTTTCGTTTGTTTGTTTGTTTTGATTTTTTGAGATGGGGTCTCATTATGTAGTTCAGGCTGACTTGGAACTCAATATGTAGCCAGGCTGACTCTGCACTCACAGTAATTCTGCCTCAGCCTTCCCAGTGCTGGGATCACAGGTATACACCACCTGGTTTGGTTTGGTTTCGTTTGAGACAGGATCTCACTTTATAATTCAGGCTGGCCTTGAACTCACTATATATCCCAGGCTAGCCTCGAACTCACAGAAGTCCTCATGTCCCAGCCTCCTTAGTACTGGGATTACAGACGTCACAAGCACATCTGGCTTTTTGTTTTGTTCTTGAGACAGGGTCTTGCTATATAGTCAAACTGACCTTGACTTGGGGTTCCTTCTGCCTCAACCTCCTGAGTGCTGGGATTATAGGCATATGCTCCTACACCTGGGTAGAGTTGTATTTTTTTGAAAGGTCTCACAATCCTTTATTCAAATAGCATTTTAGACTTGTCCTGTATATGAGACAGGTGAGGGGGCTGGGCTGCTGGAAGGGCAAGAAGCTAGGCTTGGCCACGCTGCCCCATTCAGGAAGCAGTGTTCTGCAGCACAGCCCTGACTTCCTGATCCTTGCTGTGTGGGCTCGGTGTAAGCCCCAGGCGTGTGGGTGGGTAGCAGCCACCTATTGCAGTGGTCAGGAGGGGAGGGAGGGGAGCCTGTTCCCGCAGTGCTAGGTTTTTACAGAGGAGCCGGGAGTGTTTGCTGTCGGTGTGAGCAGGGCAAGTTCAGGAGTAAATCAGAGGCAAGCTAGCAGGCATGCAAATGGCCACATCCACACACAGTGACAGCTGTCCTGAAGGAGTATGTCCAGCCCTCAAGGGGACACACAGAGAAAGAGGGTGACATCTGGTTAGGAGTTGACCAGATGTCCGAGGGGGAAGGGTGAGTCCCAGCCGAGGCCATAACGTGGAGCAGAGCAGGGACAAGTCCCAGATCCTGGGCTCCGGGAGGTGTGGAGTCCCATGTGACCAGCCCAAGGTCATGGCAGGAGTGGGGGGTGGAGGGTAGACCGGAAGGCCTGAAGGTCACCTGAGTGCTGGGACTGCTGGGAGGATGATCAGCCCTAGACCAAGGAAGCACCTCGACTGGGGCTCGGGCTCCAGGCGTGGGGATCAGACCAGAGTGACTGTTGGAGCACTTGCCCTGCCTGGGGAGGATGTGGTTGGGTTGAGAAATTCCACCCAGGGCCACTCACGCCAGTGGAATGTCAGCAGCCTCAAGGATGCAGCTCGCTGTGATGGAAGCTGCTGGGGTGCCAGCTCAGCTTTCTGTCCAGGGCACGTGGTATGGTCAGGTCTGCCAAGGACCATCCTGGCTCTCGGGGATGCCAGGGCAGCAGTGGGAAGGAGCTCTGGCCCAGAGGAGCTGCTGAGGAGGGACAGGGTCTGCAGGGAGCCAGGAATGCTGCAGGGCTGGTCTGCCCAGTGCACTGTCCCCACCCAGCCCTGGGCAGGTTAGAGTCACTTGCCCAGGGACTCTGCTGCCTTGGTCTAGGCTTCCTGGCCTCACCAACACCCTCTGCTCTGACCTCACCCTCCTCCACAGCCTCTCCCCCACTGCCAGCCATGCCCCCCAACCGTGCCCATCACAGGCCAGCTGCAGTGAGACCCTGTCTCCCTTGCTAGCCCTGAGTCTGAACCAGAAATACAGCTCTTGATTCTCTGGGCAGCTTGACATGTATAGCACACTAATTGTTAACTTGAAGACAGAAATTGCATCTTCTCCTTCATATCCCTGAAAGCAGAGATGCCTAACACTGGTGGAGCACTGGACCTTCAAGAATCTGGGACAAGACACTGGGGCCGAGAGCCAGTCCTGCCCGGCAGGCTCCTGCGCAGCCACTGCGGGGATCCCGCCTTCTACCCTTGGGGCCTCAGAGGCCGACTGTGGGTCCCTCCTTGAGGGTGCAGACCAGCAGGCAAGGGTGGGTGAAAGTCGGGCTTGGGGAGGGGCGAGGATGGAGAGCAGAGCCCTGTGTGTGTGGGGAGGCGTTGTTTTCTGCAAGTCACAGACGAGGAGGAGTGTAAAGAAGGGCAGAGGGAACCTGGAGGCCCGGGTGTTGGGGCTTGTGTGAGGAAGCAGGGCTGGGCCCAGTAGGGGGCTGTCAGGGGCAGCTCCCTTCCGCAGCCTGGGAGTCTGGGTGGGCCTCAGCGCAGAAGGCCTGTGCGGGCCGCACTTCTGCCAGGCAGTGACCGGGCTCAGGGCCTCACCGCCAAGTTGGCTCACTCGCTGCTGACCCCTCCACGAGAGGCAGCCACGGCCGTGTGCGGCAGCCGCTGAGCCTCAGTGTCGCTGGCCGAGCCGGCCGTGGGGACACGTGGTATTGCCGTGCAGTGGGAAATAGCAGCTGCTGGGAGCCCTCCTCCTGCACTCCTAGACCTGCCCAACACCCAGAGGGCTACCGTTTGCCCTGGCAGGGGCTCCAGCCCGCTCCCCCGCCGGGCCCTAGTGCACACGTGTCGTGGTGCGGCACTGGCCGTCCTTGCTGGGTCTCGGGTGCCCCGTCCACGGTCCCGCCTGTCACCCGCCGTAAGGACCGCTTCCTGCACCCACCCTGACCTTTCAAGTTGCAGGTCTGAAGCGACTCTCGTGGTACAGCAACCATGCCTAAGTGGGAATCGAGTGGGGTTTCATGTCAGTTAATCCTCTTATCCAAGGGAGCTGGCTGTCATAGGAAATTTAAGGAATAACTTTAATAAAGTGTAACGGGACCATTTGCGTGAACTCAGGCTCAGCCAGCAAAATCCGCAGTTCCATTTAGATGCCAGGCAGCGCCCACTGTGTGCCTACAAGGCAGAAAGTAGAAGTCTGCCCTTGCGATGGCCTTGGTACCAGTGCCCTGCGTAGCCTCCTTGATGGGAAGATGCGTTCTGGTGCGTCTTACCAGGCCCCATCCTGGGCCCCATGGCCCAGAGGTACGGAGCACTGCTGTGTGTCCGTGGCCCGGGGCCCGCTTAGCCAAGGAGGTGGGGGGCAGGGCCAGCTGGGCGTCACACCTGCCTGCCTGAGAGGGCACACAGGGTGGTATGTGATCAGGTCGGTGGTGTGAGCAGGACAGGCGCAGACAGAGGCAGAGGAGCGCCTCGTGCTTCACCTGTGAAGAGGGGGAGAAACAAGCGTGGGAAGAACGGGTCCCGGGTGCGGCAGAGGCGCCCGTAGGCCCGCCGCCCTCTGTGCTGCTGGGTGGACAGAATCCCTCACAGACACACCCCGGGAGGAAGCCTCGCCGGGCCTGCTGACGGCTGCCGTCTCTCTGCAGCCTCCTGTTCACCAAGGTGAAGCTGGAGCAGGTGCTGAAAGGCCCAGAGGAAGCCCTCGTGACCTGCAGACAGATGCTACGGCTGTGGCAGACTCTGTACAGCTTCTCCCAGCTCGGGTGAGTGGCTGTCATTGTCCCTGGGGTTGCCAAGGGTGGGGACATGGTCTGAAGGCTGTGGTTGCCAGGGCAACAGTCCTCAGCTGAGTGGTCACAGCACCTGGCAAGGTAGGGACGGTGAGGACATTGGAGGAGAGGATGGAACTCAGCGTTCGCGTGATCCGAATTTAACGTCTTGACAGTCCTCTGAGGCATGCGTGGAGACCGTGTGTAGGAAGCTCAGGGGGTTACGAAGGCAGAGACACTGTCATTGAGCACCTGAGCCAGGTCCCGGGCTCGTCACTGTATCCGGAAAATCAGCCACTTGTATCTTACACGTTACCTGCTTTTGTCATCGGCCCAGAAAGGAAACGATGACTCAGAGTTACCTGGTAAGTGACGCAGGTGGTCCTGGGACCTGAACCTGGGCCTGCTGGTCCCAGCCGTGGAGCCTGTCCCTTCCTTCCTGGTTCTGTCTGGAGGCTGGAAGAGGAAGAAAAGGCAAAGTCCCGAGGATTCGGGCGCACATGTCCTGGCTGAATGCAGGAAGTCTGTTCAAGCCCGTGCAACACTTGGGCTCAGCCTGTGCACCCAAAGGGACAGGGACAGGTCGTCCTGAGGGGCAGGTCAGTGTCTTCTGGACCTCTGGGCCACTCTCCCTTTCTCCAGGGCTGCTGGCCGTGGCACCCCCTCTCCCACTGCATTTTCAGAGGGGTTGTAGCCGGAAGGCCTCTGGACTTCCCAGAGGAGATCTGTCCTGCGGGAACCTACAGAGGATTGTGTCCCAGGGAGGTGGGGGACAGTAAAACGCAAAGACAGGGTCAGCCCTGCCTTCGTGGCCTCGGGGCCAGGGGAGTCCAGAACAGAGCGGGACCAGCGGTGAAAGCCACCAGGAGGAAGCTGTGGGTGGGGCTTTTGAGAAAAGTATAGGGAAGCGGCTGATACAAGGGCAGAGCCCGTCTGCCCTCTGGCTGTGGCGGGGAACTTGCCTGGGGCTGGCTGCTCCTTGGCTGCTCATCCAGGTGGCTGGTCTTGCTGGGGCCACTTGGACCCAAACCCTGAGCTCCGGAAGGCCTGACCTGCGCCTCGCTCTGAGCCAAAGGCTGCTGGGTGCTCTCCGGCGGGGCCAGTGGCGTTTGCTTCGGGGCTGCTTCACACCACCTCATACACACTCCGCCTCTGACCTGAGAACCTGGTGGAGCACCCCCACCCGAAGCCCCGGGACCCTCTCCCAGGAAACTCGCCACAGCCTCCCAACCCAGGGCAGGGCAGGGCGCGGCCAAGCCAGCTGCCTGGACCACAAGCTGGATGTGGCAACCTCCTGGCCTTCCCAGGAGACAGGGAAGATTCATCTGTGCACCTGGGACCACCGATCAAAAGCCAGGGTTCATTATAACCTAGTTTGGGGCAACCTGTTAGTCAGGACTAGAGTTCATAGCCCCAGGGTCCAGCCTATACCCACCCTACCCAGCCAGCCTTCCCACCTCTCACCAGAGTCCCTGGCATCCCCCATACCTCTCCTCTGCAAGGCCACACAGCTGTCTTGGTGTCCCCATCACCCCCCAGACCGCTCCTTCATGGACCCACCAACCACCCAGCCTCAGCTGCTTTGTAGCCTCTCCATACGGGTCTCTGCTACTGCTCAGCTTGGAGTGTTTCCTCTCCCCACCTGGGTTTAAGGTTTGTCATGCTGGGCACTGGCCTAGAATTATGTGGCAAGTAGTCCCTGAGATGGACTGTTCTAGGGCCCTAGGAGAGGCCCCTTCAGAGCATGGCAGAGAGAGCAGGAGATGGAGAATCTAGAGGTCAGGCACCTAGACAGGAAGGCAGCACTGTGCTAAGCTCTGCCTAGGCTCTCAAGTTACTTTTGTGACGCCTTGTGAGGTGGAGATGGTCGTGGCTTGTTTTTGGGAGAGAAAGGTCACAAGAGAGGTCATGTAGTTTTGCTGAAGGGGACATAGCCAAGAAGGGCTGGTGCCATGACTTGAACCTTGTGTCTCCTTGTGCTTCACCTGGGTGCCTCCTGGGAGTAGGAAGGGGTGGGAGAGGAAGGGAACCGCCCCGAGCCGCTTCTAACACGGCTGTGTGTCCACAGGCGCATGCTGGGTAGTGTGAGCCTGACTGAGGATGGTGAAGGCGCCTGGGACCCCGGCATTATTTGCAGGGCCATGGTCTTGGGCCTCTCAGAAGGGAAGATGCCCTCTAGCCCAAGCATGGCTCCTTCTCTCGAGACCTTTCTCTTGAGTTACGTGCAGGTCGAGGGCAGCAGGCATCCTTGGCTAGGGCAAGGGGCTGGCCGGGGCTGTGTGTCTCTAGAAAGAGTGAGACAACTCTGCTGCCTTCCTGAGCTGCTGGTGTCTCCCTGCAGCCACACTTCTGCTCTGAGAATGGAGTGCGGAGCTACAGGGGCCTGAGGAACTGGGTGGGAGGCAAGGTAGGATCCCTGTGCTTGCTAATCTGCCACCCAGGGCCCCATGGCTCCCTGGCATGTCCCAGGGCAGCTGGAGGTAGGAGATCCTGTGGTGGGGAATGGCACTCCTTCCCTGGGTGGGCTGGAGCACTTCTGGTGCCCTGCAAGTACCAGGCTTTCTCGGGGAGCTGGTTCAGTCCCCACACTCTGCCCCGCGCTCTGCTAGACTGAGGGTGCAGAAGCCTTGCCCTGGCCTGTGGCAGCATCGCGCCCTCCCTGGTGTCAGTCGGGGAAGGAGACGGTACGAAGGACTCCACTGCAGACCTGGAGTGGTGTGCGGCTGTGCTGATCTGCCCGGCTTCCCTGGCTGTCTCGGTCCTTCTGGGTTGTCCTGACTTGGACTGGACTCCCAGCGCCAGGGGCTGTCTGGCGTTAGGCTCCTTTGTTCTCCTGCCAGCCCACTCTCTTACCACCCCTGCCCTCCCTTGTCTTCCAGAGGCCTGGAGAAAGATAGCAGCTTGGGCGAGGGGCTCACCATAAAGAAACAGAGCGGCATGCACCTGACCCTGCCTGATGCCCACGACGCTGACTCAGGTGGGGGTGCGCCCTGCAGGCACTGTTCACTGGGCCCACAGCTCACTGCCCACATCTCGGTACACACGTGGAGGGTGGCATCTGCCCAGCCTGGGCAAACTCCTGCTCCTCCTCACCACCACTGCCAAGGGCCTTGGTGCTGTAGTGCTGCCCTTGGACACCTATCGGGTGGCCCTGAGGTAGATGGTGGGCAGCTGGAGTGAGCAAGGGAGGGACCCTACCTCCTGGGTGATGGGCAGGGGAGGCTGGCGTGGAAGGTGTCCTGGGCCAGAGGCCAGAGGCCAGAGGCTACCTATTGCCACACAGATGAGTCAAATAGAAAGGAATGGGCCCAGCTCTTTGTGTTCCTAAGCTCAGAGCTGACTCTTCTGGAAAACCTACTCTGAAACCCAAGGCTTGGGAAGTTCACATGAATCCAGGAGCTGCAAACTTACATGTGTAAGCTGAGGACCTGATTAAAGCAAAACACCTTCTCCAAAGACACAAGGAGAATTAGTCATGAGAGAACAGCAGTGCGAGTGGAGCTGTACGTAGTGGAGCTGCTCATTTTCTCCCTTCTGTGGGCTTGAGCCAAGTTGCAAGTGACGGGGGTGCTTCCAGCAGCCGCCCTAGCACCTGACCCGCCCAGCCTGTCCTGGGCTCTGAGCTGCGTGTGAACCCGCTGTCTCCAAGGGGGGAATGGTCGGGGGAGGGGACAGCCCCCTTGGCGTTAGGAGGAGGCTTGTGAGTGTAGTTATTAGGACTCCATGTACATGTGTCTCATAAACTGAAGTCATCTGTGGTTTGCCCTGAGGTCTCCTGAGTTTATTAGAACCTTTACTGCCTCTGAGGGCGAGTGAGAAAGTGCTTACATTTCACCTGTGTGGGAATTATAAATGCCAACAGCTCATGTGTCCCAAGTGGGGGCCCTTGCCGCCCGCAAGCGCCACAGGAGAGGTTCCCCAAGGGCGCAGGTCTCACCTGAGCCACTGCCCAATCACTCGTCACTCCACAGCCCCCCACGGTCCCTTTGCACATGCCCTCAGGCTAACACACTCTTGTGGAAACAGAAATAAAACAGCAAAGGGAGAAACGGGGAATTCCCTGTCCCAGACCTTAACAGGTGATGCTTCAGACCTTTTTCCACACACGCTCGTACTCATTTTCGATAGAAATACGATCATTTCCTTTGTGCCTTGCTGGTTCACACCCATCTGTGTAACGTGAGCACCCTTCCGTGCCGGGTGCGCCTCACACGTGTACGGCGTTACTGTCGTGACTGCAGTGTCTCGGATGATTATGCCTTTGCTTATTTTTAATTATCCCTATCATTAACGTTCAGGTAGTTTCTGCTTTCTGGATTATAGGGAGGAGCTGCACAAGCATCTTGGCTGGCGCGCGTGGCTGTTTTCCTTGGGGATACGCTCCTGTGGGATTTCTGCCTGCTTGCCCCTTCAGAACCTTCCCTCTGCTGCTGTCGGGGAGGTGGGCGGTGGGCCCTCCCTTGTGGGTCTGTGCGCCGTTTGCCAGCTGCCAGCCCCTGCCATCCTGGCCCTGCTGCTCAGCCCCACCCTGTCTGCTCTGCAGGCTCTCGCCGGGCATCGTCCATCGCAGCCTCTCGGCTGGAGGAGGCCATGTCAGAACTGACCATGCCCACGTCAGTCCTGAAGCAGGGGCCCATGCAGCTGTGGACCACGCTGGAACAGATCTGGCTCCAGGCTGGTGAGTGCCTGCCTCAGCCCACCAGGCCTGCCCTGGAAGGAGGGGAGGGAGGTGCTGCAGGGTCTAATTCCAGCTCTTCTTCCTTGCTTGCCTCAAGCAAGTCACCTAGTGTGTCTGGCTCTGGGCGTCCTTCTCGGCCCACTGCAGTGTGCTTGCCTCCCTACCTGGCAATGCTTCTTGGCAGCCAACACAAGTGGGAGAGGGTTTGAGGTCGGGACAGTCCACACAGATGGACAGGCCAGAGAGCTGGTAGCACAGAGACTGGCATCCAGGTGGCAGTCCCTCGTGATCGTCAGCTGGCACCCTTGCCCCTGGGCTGGTGAGTGCTGGGAGGCAGGTGTCGGGAAGCCCCGGCTTCGGTGTCACACAGACTAGCCGGCCCTCGCTCACATGCAGAGCAGCCAGTGCGGCATGTAGCAGGTGCTCCCTGGGGGGTGCCTGGCTTCCCGTCGGGCCGAGGTAGAGGCTACGTGTGAGAGCTTCCTTGTGCTCAGCGTGGGAGCGACTCGCTGCAGAGTGTTTGACAGTTGGACAGTGGTATGGGAGGTAGATTAAAAAGAGAGAAACTCGGGGCCAAAGATGTTTAGTGTAGATTAAAAAGAGAGAATCGGGACCAGCGTTTAGTGTCTGACTAGAATAAATGACAGCGACAGAATGGAGCAGAAGCCGAGGGGCCATGTGGAAGGCTGAGCCTGCACCGGGCAGCCCATCCGGGCTCCAGAGCTGCCCCGGGGCACTGTCCTCATCTTTGGCTCACCCTCCTGCTCCCTCCCCACCACGGGGGTGGGGCTGCAGTCCCCCGGGGAGCTGGAGGAGAGGTAGGTGGAGGGACAGGCTGTGGAAGGCGCTTGTGAGCTCGGCTCTGAGGTCTCCCTTCGCGTGCTCTGCACATACGGCCACATTAGTATGCAGCTCGCCCCCACGCTCCCCGTTGCAGGTTCTGAATATGGAAAAAAATTCTGGACCAGGATCCACAGAAAGGCTAGGCCTGGAAGCGTTTTCATAATGCAAATATTGCCCCACTTAGCATCTCAGGTCCCTCAGGATGCCAGGGAGATGAGGGGTGGGCCCCGTGGCTTGTGGAGCCTGAGTAGGAGGAGGAATAGTGAAGAATCCAGAGGAGAATAAACAAGCCTTCTCCTAGGCCAAGGTTCCCCTGCCATCTCCAGAGATGCGAAGCTGTATGGATTCTCCAGGGGCAGAAGGGAGCGCCGGCCCCGCATGTGTGCGTGGGATGGGAAACAGCACCCATGCAGGGCCTCCCAGCCCCCAAGGCCTTGTGTTTCACTGATTTGCCATGTTCTCTGCCATGCTGCTTGCACTTCCTCCTGGGGTGCTGGCCTGCGCTGCTCTCAGGGGAAAGGCCTCCCAAAATGGGCATTAGACTGGGACGCGTCAACATAAACATGCCTGGCAGTAAGCTGCATATCAGCCTTGCCTCTGTGCCCTTGTCGTGGACGTGACTCCATGGAATGCCTTGTACAGTGTGCCAGGTGACAGCTGGGCAGCGGAGTGTAGGAGACGGTCTGGGTGCAGGTGGCAGACCCAGAATTGCAGGGGCTTGCGCAGGGTACTGCTTATTTCTGTCTCGGGTAACAGTTTGGACATGACAGCCTCGACTGGGCTGACAGCTCTGCTTTCCCTGGGGTGTTGCGCTTATCTGTGTGACCCAGGACGGCTCCCTGCCACATTCACATTCCAGGGTGTAAGATACGGGGGGGGGGGGGGAGAGGGAGAAGCACTGCTCCCCATAAGGACAGATCCTGGAATTTACACACATGATTTCCCTGGAGAATCATTGGCCAGAACTCCATCGTTTATTACCCCTACTGGCAGATGCCATTATTTTGGATGTCCATATACCCTTTTTTTTGAGAGAGAGAGAGGAGGGGGTCTCGCTCTAAAATTCAGATTGTCTTGAACTCACTGTATGGCCTAGGCTGACCTCAAACTCATGGTGATGCTCCTGCCTCAGCCTCCTGAGTGCTGGGATCATAGGCATGTACCACCACGCACAACTTCTTATGCCCCATTAAAAATCAAAAATCCATGGGCATGATGGCATGTTTCTGAAATCCCAGGAAGCTGAGGCAGAAGGATTCAAAGTCTGGGCAACTTAGCAGGACCATGTTCAAAATTTGAAAGGGTGCTGTGGATGTAGCTCAGTGCTAAAGTGCTTTCCGAGCATGTACAAAGCTTTGGGTTTCATAATCAGTCCCGGAAAAAAAAAAAAATCAAAAGAAGGGGCCGTCTACTGTTGTACAGCAGTCATGCACTGTGAGCACTCAAGCAGTCTGCCCCCCATGGCTCCCAGCCACAACCTCCCCTTCACCGCCCCCTACCGCAGGCTAAGAACACTGTCCTCAGTTCCCCACCCCATCCCCGCTGATGGCTCCACCAGCTGCCACACATTTATAGGAAGAGAAAGCGATCCCTTCGTCATTTTGGAAGGAGCTGATCCCCCTGGATTGGTTCAAGATAAAATCGCAGCCATACCTGTTTTGGCAAGAAGTTCCGTCATGAAAAACAGTTCTGGGTGGGAAATGTTGCCTCTTTCCCCTCCCAGCCCTCGCCCTCCTCCCCTCCCCTCCCTTCCCCTCCCCTCCGCAGTGCTCTGTCCAAGCCACAGGAGGGAAAGAAGCCCATTGCCGGGTCTCGCTCAGACGGCGGGGGGAATGCTGTGAGATGGGAGCAGCGTCGATGGGGGGAATGCTGTGAGATGGGAGCAGCGTCGAGCCCCACGGGTGCTGCAGGGTCTGGAGAGGTGCTTGGTGCAAGAGCAAGAGTGCTCCTGCCCTGCTCTTGAGCCGGCAGTGCCAGCAAGGGGAGATGGACTGAGGGAGCAGCTCGGGACTCCCTCTGCCCGTGGGAAGCTGGCCTGAGTCTCAGTAACGCAGGGCCTGCTCCGTGCTGACTGGCAGTGGCACCTCGTTCTGCAGGTGCCCGGCCTGCAGGTGCAAGCCCCCCAGCCGTGCGCGCTGCTGGTGTTTGTTAGAGTCACAGTCGAGGGAGAAGCAGGCTCGCACGCTGGTCCTGCCCGCCCCGTTGCTCTTCAGTCTCACGGGTGTCTTCACTCTCCCCGCTCCCAGCCCCTCTCCTGCCTTCGGTGCTTCTTCCCCGTCCTCCTCCCCGCTCTCGGACTTCCTCCTCTCCTCCCACCCGCCTCTGCAGGAAGCCACCAGGCCCTGCGGCCCCCACCCCACCCGCTCGAGCTCGGTGTGCAGGGCTGAAGGGCCCGTGTCATCCCCTAGCTGCTGTGTGACTCTCCTGGTCTTCCTCCTTCCTGCCGCCTGGGACTTCTCTCTCGTCCCTTCCTCCATCTGCCTCCTTTATTCCGGGTGTCCGTGTGTCCTGCCGGTCTGCGCCGGCACGGAAGCGGGTGGTGCTCGTTTCCTCATTTCCTTTGGGGAGCACCGACCTCTCACACTGGAGCGCACGTGGAGCCACGGTTGGCCCCTTTCAGGGCCTAACCTGTTTCCCTCTTGCCCTGGGCATCTGCGAACTCTAAGTCAACATGGCTCCCTCTTTTCTTCTTTCTCCTTCTTCCCTTTTCCAAGGTCTGGGGGAAGGCTCTCTGTAGGAAGCACATCTCGCCTGAGGAGGCCCCAAAGGGTGGCCCTGAACCCCCAGCCCCTGGGCTTCTCCGGCCTGGATGAGGCCCACCTTCCCGCCGGAGGGGAGAGCCTGGGCTCCGGCAAGGACTGCAGGAGGACGGGAAGCGGCCCTGGGTGCAGGGTTAGACCAGGATGCCTCCGAGAAAAGCAATCAAAGGGACTGTTGCAAAGCTCCAGGGAGCAGATGTTTTCCATTTGTAGCCTGTGGAGAGAAAGCAGAGGGAAGAGCGGGTAGGGATAGCGCCAAGAGGAAGAAAACCAACCAGAGAGGGCAAGCAGGGAGGATGAGGGCGCCAGACAGAAAGCGGGGCAGAGCCGGAGCCAGGAGCCCAGGCTCGGGGGCCGCTGACACCCGGGGAACACCGGGCCCTGTGAGCGAGGTGACAACAGGAAAAGCTCGGAGCAGCGAGCTCTTGTCCAGCCCTGGCGGGGAGGCCAGGATGGGTGTGGGCAGCCCCGGGCCAGGTGCCAGGCTGGGAAGGGAGGGTCCAGGCAGCGGTGGGCGGGGTGCCACGTGCTACTCTGCAGCCCGGCTGATGACCGTGAGCACCAAGTTTGGTAAAGCAATGCGTAGGAGCCGGGGCGTCTGCCCAGGGGCACTGAGGCCAGGAAGTGGGGTGCACTTCAGGCCTCATACCTGTGGGTCTGTGTGCGAGTTCAAGGCCCTGCTCCAGACGCTGGACCTGTGGGGCTGTGCTCAGTGTGGCCAGAGCCCTGGGGAGACTTCTCGTCCCGGGCCCTGCTCTGAGCCATCTGGCTTCCTGCCTAAGCGGAGACAGAGGCGTCACATGGAGCAGCCCTCCCGGTCCTGGGGGCACATTCCCCCGTGTGTGACCCCTCGGTGAAGCCCAGGGCCCGGCTCTCCCTGACCGAAATCTTGGTGTAGATGCACCGCAAGGAACCCTCAAGGGAGGGACCAGGGACGGACCTCTGCAGGCTCGGGGGACAGGACAGCGGGTTGTAAACAGCGTAATGCGCCGTGCCATGGCCTGGTGGGCCGGGCCGAGGTCTGGGCGGAGAGCCTGCGCCATGGGCACCCAGCCAAGCTGAGCTCCCGCCCACGGAGGACGCGCCTCAGGCACAGGTGTGGGGACAGCCTCCTCACCCAGCACTTACCAGCCACAGGCCTCCTGCCTCCCGCTCTGCTCCTGTGACCTCCTCCAGAAAGGCCTCCCCGACCATACTCACCTGACACCTTGAGGGCCTGTGACACCCCAAGTTGGAGCTTGTCTCTTCACTGCCCTGGGCCTCCAGTGGTTTAGTGGCTTCGTGCCCCCTCCCCCGTCCCTGTTCTTTCCCCTTCCCTTGGGAGGACCGGGCATTCAGTCGGCAGCTGCCCATTAGACACTCAGTTACCCAGGCAGCCTGCTCAGAGCTGCTAGCAGCAGCTCAGCAGCAGAGCCAGGAGGAAACCTGAGGCAGCAAGAGCTAAGTCCCCGGACCCGGGGCTCAGAGCCCATGTCCCGGCCTCCCCTTACTGTGCTGTCTACCTTTCAGTCTCCTTGTCAGCCTGTCTCAGAACAAGAGTCTGCCCCCACCCGCCCCTGCCCACATGCCTAGGGAGCCTGATTCTCCCAAGTGCTCATCTCCATTGAAGAAAAGCCTACCCTGGCACCCAGCACCCTCTGTCACATTGTTGGGCGTGGTGAGCTGCTCGGGTTGAGCCCAGGTGTCGTGTGTTGCAGTGAGGCCTAACTTAGGCTCCTTTCTGTTGCTGGTTGGGATAAGCAGGGGGTGCCTGGGCCTGGTTTGTCTGCCTCTATCCAGGAGCTCCTCGAGGGGGTGTCTGTTAGATACCCCGACCCCTCCTTATAGGAGGAGCCCTTGGCAGAGCCGCAGCCCGGCTTTGCTGGTCTCCCGCACTCCTGTCCGTGTTGCCATCCTCCTGTGACTTCCACGCGTGCACCGGCCCTGGGGCGGGGCAGCTGAGCCCAGAGGCTGCTTGCAAGGAGCGCGGGGTGGGCTGTGAGGCCGCGGAGCAGCCTTTCTGAAAGTGCTTGCCGTGGGCAGACGCTGCTCACCAGGGAACCGAAGTGTGCAATTCTGTATAGGTTACAGCAGGCACCCACTTCCTGTGACCTGCTTCTGGGCAGATCTGGTCCTACTTGATGGCCAGCATCTCCTTTGGGGGAGGTCAGACCTGGCTTTGCCTGTGCTCGCAGGGGGAATGGAGCGGGGGCCCCATTTTGTCTGTTCATTTCTTAAAGGGGAGATCAGGACAGTACCCGCGGAATTAGTTAGGAGGATGACTGAGAGAAAACGCTCCGTGAAGTCGGGTTGGCCTGCAGTCCACGCCCATAAATCCAGGTGGTGACTTTGTCGCTGTTCCCAGCACCACTTGGTCTGAGCTGTGTGCTGTTCTTTAGCAGGTGCCTCCTCTCCTGCTTTGTCCCTCCTCCTCCTCTCCTCCCATCTTTGGCGGCATTACCGGGCTCCCTGCAGGGCTCTGAGCACATCCCTCCCCGGCCTGAGCACGACCAGTGGGCGGCAGAGTCAGCCGCGCAGTCTCCTTCTGCCCCCAGCCAGAGGCCTCCGGGACAGCCACCATGAGCAAATGGGGTGAAGGGTCTGAAACAGAAATCAGAACCCCCAGAGCCAGTGCTCGGCCCCAGAGGACCCCATGCATGCCCACACTGCCAGGCCCTGACGTCAGACTGTCCCCACAAACCCTGCCTCCATCACTAACTGTCCACGGGGCCCTGGGCAGGTGCCGTCACCTCTGTGCCTAGGCCCCTCGTCTCTAAAGCAGGATTGACAGCGCTCGTCCTCCAGGGTTTGGGGGAGCATTGACTGAGAGTCTGTGGAGGCCTCAGCTCAGTGCCTGCCCCCAGGGCGCACCACGGCCTGTTCCCACAGCCTCTTCCCGAGGTATCTCGGTAAGCGTGTCTGGTGCTGTGACTTCGGGGGAGGACCCGCCTCCGGCCCCACCTCACACCTCCTGCCATTCCTGTTTCCACAGCCGAGCTGTTCATGGAGCAGAGACACCTGAAGGAGGCAGGCTTCTGCATCCAGGAGGCGGCCGGCCTCTTCCCCACCTCTCACTCGGTGCTCTACATGCGGGGCCGGCTGGCCGAGGTGAAGGGCAGCCTGGAGGAAGCCAGGCAGCTGTACCAGGAGGCGCTCACGGTGAACCCAGACGGCGCACGCATCATGCACAGCCTGGTGAGTCGGCCCCGCTCCTCCCCACCATGTGCCTGTCCCTTACTGCCCCTCCGCCCTGGTCTCTGTCCCCTGGTGTCTGGGAGCGGGGGTGTGGGAGAGACTGGCTGCTGTGTCTGCACTGATGAAAAGGTCTAGAAGGTTGGTTGGTATTTTTTGTGACTTCCTTTTTGTCGTAATTCCCAAAGAGCTTTCTCTGTTATTCACTGGCTCCTCGCCTCATTGGAGGCTAACCCAGACTCCAGGAGTTCTCCAAATGCTCTTCCCTCTGGGGTCCTTGGTCATTAGGCTGCCTTCTCCATTCCAGGGGAGCTCTGTGTCTCCTTGGGCTTCAGGGGGTGCTCTGACATGGACCGTCCCAGCAGGCCTGATGCGAGCATACGTTGAGAATGGTCCTAGCGTGATGAAGGGTCTCCCAGCCCCAGTCTGAGGGCAGGGACCAAGGACTTGGGGGCGCTTGACCCACCTGTGGGAGGCCGAGGGGCTGGGAAGCAGGATGCTGGTGCTCTTGACCCAGCCTTGTGACACTCTGCCTGGATAGGGGCTGGGGATTTAGCTCAGCGGCACAGCACCTGCCTGGCAAGCGCAAGGTTGTGAGTTCGATTACTGGTACTGGGAACCACCCCCCGCCAAAAAAAAACCAAAAAAACAAAACACACTATGCCTGGGTGACTGTTATGTCTTGTGTCTGGGGCAGGCTTCTAGAGCGTGTGACTGATCCCTGGCCCATGCAGGGATTATGGGTGTGAGTGCTACACACCTGTCCTGGGGTGGGTAGTTTGTGTACAGTGTAAGGGAGGGAAAGAGTCTGTTTGCTGCTCCTCCCCTTGTGCTCATGCCGCTTTTGCTGTCTTCCGCCGCTGTGAACTATTGCCCTCTGTCATGTGCCGCTCTGCCTTGGAGCCAGTGATGGCTCCAGCTGGGTGAAAAGGTCTGCTTTGTCCACGAGTAGAGCTGCACGGTGTTGGCTTTCAAGCTGTAACTCTTAGCATAGTCTTGTGCATTCTCAGTGGTCATCTGGTGAGGATTTTACCAAGAGAATGGCAGACTCAGTTGGGAGAGGGGCTGGGCCAAGGCATCTTTATGTAAGGTCTTTTCCAGCCCCCAGCGCCTTGACTACAGAACAGAGAGGGATTCTCAGCTCAGCTGTTTTTCCCGTGCCTGCTTTCCTCAGGAATTTGGCTTAGGCCTGTGTGAACGTTCAGCCCCTGTCAAGAACGCCCACGACACGGCCTTCCACCCAGTGGTGCTTTCTTCCACATGGCTCCTCCTGCCCTCTGTTCGGCTCAGTAAATGTTTGTGAGTTTTTGTTTTTTTTACAAGGCGCGTCCACCTTCCTCCCAGAACTCAGACGTTAGCTTCCCTGATAAATGCCTCGCCAGAGGTCTCATCCAGAAACTTGACTGGGGGGCCGGAAAGGAGGATGTGGGCTGCCGTCAGGCCCACGGCCAGGCAGAGATGTCTGCTTGCCGCTGTGTTCACGGTTATGAGCCTGCAGTCTTGGCCCCAAAAACCCTAGCAAATCCAATAACAAGAACAATTTTGAAGTAATAGTGTACCATTTTTCATTTATGCTTATTATTGTTTGTAGCTATTTTCCCGAAATTGAAGCAGTTTCCAAGGGTGGGTTTCCATGGTAACTGAACAGCCATGAAGAGGAGCTCCCTGCAGATGTGACTGAAATGGTCCCTTTTCTCTTCCGGGGGTGCCTTGCCAATGTGATGAAATTGGAGCAAGCCAGAGCCAGGCCTGTCCGCTTTCAGAGCTGCCGGCAACCAGAGGGGCAGTCGGCTCCTGCGTGGGCAGCCTGTCGCCTTTCCCCATGCTTTGTTCCTGCCAGCATCCCACACACGTGCATAGCGAACAGCAAGCTGCAAGCCTGGGGGGGATCTGCCGGGCACATTTTCCTTAAGACATGGGAACGCTTTGGCACGTTGGTCTCAGGTGTTCCCCCCTCTAAGTGTCTTCCTTGTACTTGCCTGGGATTCAGGACATCTGGGATCTAATCTGGCTCTGCCCCCGATGCTCTCTGGTGACTTGGGAGAACACTTAGCTTCCATGCCCTTTTGTAAATGGGTCATAATCTTATGGTTGCTAGGCCACAGTGTTGTTCCGACCACAAGATGTGCATGTGAGAGTGTATGATGCAGCAGCAAAGGACGCAGAGCTGCACACGCACCACTGTGCTCCATTCCCTCCCGGTGACAGACATTGCTAATCAATCACACCAGTTTTTCCCTCTTAGCGCAGGTGCGACCTTGGGACTTTTTCAGCATGATGTAACATGATGGTATGGGAACCACTGCTAGTCAGTCAAAATCAACTTAACGTCCATGTAAGGGGGAATCATGGTAAAAGTAGTCAATAGGCAATGAAAGACGTATTAGTTGTCTCAGCCTCTGTGAACTCTGGAAGCTGGTACATCCTTGGTGAATTATCCAGAGAGAACTGGTACCCACCCTATGGTGGTATTGCCAAGGCAGGTGCCAGGGAGGAAAGCCTAGCCTTACCACAGCATTGCAGCTTTGTGAGGACAATGGCTCCGGATGGTACAAGGAGAAGGAGGGCTGCCTCTCCCCTGGGAGCCCAGCCACCCACAACCCTGGGCTGGAAGCACTTACATCCTTCCCTAGAGCCCTTTCAGGGTCATGGGTGAACCCCACTCCCTGGGGTCTGGGAAGAGCAGGGTGGAAGTACTCCTGTGCGCTGCATGGGTGCCAGTGTTGGCCTTGTGGTCCATCGGGTGGGCCTGGCAAATGCCAGAGGCTAAAGAAAGCCCCCAGGAGGGGAAGGCTTTGCTTTCAGGAGCCAAGCTGCAGGCCGTTCTAAGAATATAAGCTTCAGCCCAAGGGCAGGTTCTCTGCCTGTCCTCTCCCGGATGTTGTGGGAGGTGTTTCCCTGGTTCCAGCTCTACCCTGGGCCCAGCTTAGGCTCTTCTGCCAGACCAGGCACAAAAGAGCCTTGGCCATTCTCACTGCTGCAGGGTCCGGAGGAGGTTGTCCACCGAGCCCTGGTCCTGTGGACTGCCTTTACATGGGGCTCAGTGGCTGGGGACCATGGTGAGGCTGGCATGTGCTGGTGCTCTCTGCAGATGGCAATCACGTCACAGGAGCAGGTCCTGACAGTGTGTGCCCAGAGGCCTCCTCCAGGCCACCTGAAACCACCTCTGGCAGAAGACAGGTTAAGAGGGAGGAAACCTGACCCTTACCTGCCTGCCCTGGGTCCTCCCCAAGGTCAGTGGGGGAGTCGCCCCACTGGAGGGTGCCCAAGTGCTTGTCTAAAAAGGGACCCAAGGCAACCCACTCTTACGTCCTTGCCCCTTTCTGCCCTGTCACTTCCCACGGCCCCTTCATGCCAGGCAGCTCCAAGAGGATGCCAGGGCACCAGGGCAGGGACTGATGGACGTGTCGCTGCGTGCCCTCCTGGGAGGCCTTCCTTGAGGTCACCTGAATGCAGTGGGAGGGTCTGGCTGGTCATAGGTGGATGAGAGCCCGAATGGGGCGGTTTCCAGAGCAGAGAAGGAAAAACCAACTTTCCCTTTCTCCTGAGTTCCTGAACCCAACCCCTGTGGTAGAAGTGATCAACAAAAGAAGGATGCTGGGTGTGCTGGGGTGCGTTCTTCATGTACACGACAGTGAGTAGTTCTCAGGTAGCCCGGACCCCCACTGAGACAGCACCCTCGCCAGAGTTAGACAGTCGTAGAGAAGGAGCAAGGCAAAGGAGAGCGACCTGCAGTCCTCAAGGGAGGCAAATAAATGGAAGGTAATGCTATGTAGATTCTTCTGCCGCTGTCCCTGGGCGGGTGACATCCAGCATTGTCTTCATGATCCATCACTTTTGTCCTCCCTTGGAGAGCGTACAGATATCCTGCTTCTAGGTAAATAGAGAATGAGAGCTTTTCTTGTATCTGCTTTTTTCTGATTGTCATCAGCTCAAAGCAGTCCTCTTGCCAAGGTGCCACCTTTCAGTGCCACCATAGAAGGTCCCAGCCCAGGCCTCAGACAGACCCCTGCCCTCGGCTTGCCTAGGGAAGATGCATACCGTGGCCAGGGGGCAACTTGAAGCCCTCGGCCTGAGTGAGCGGGCGAGATGTTTGTGGGTTGCACCTGCCCTCCTCTTCCAGGGACGGGCTCTGGAAGGACAAGGCTTCGTGCTTCCTTCCTGGGGACAAGATGCAGGGTCTCCTGGAATCTCTCTTTCTCAGGCACCACAGCTGTAGCGGGGAACCACCCTGCACAAGCTTTGGCTCTCGTGAAATAACCCCGGGTGGCAGTCTCTGAAGCAGTCCTGGCCACGTGACGGCCTCCTGTGTCCCCTCCACATGTCCTGGAAAGGCAGGGAGACTGTTGCGGTCCCATTTGGCTTCTTGATGATAGCAGGGCAGTAAACTTGTTCCCTTCGTTGTTTTCCTCTTGTTCCCAGCATGTCGTACCTGCCTTGTTCTTCAGAAGGTTTGGGGGACATCAGACCTTAGCATGGTGCTCACATGGCCCCTCTGTCCTACGCAGAAACTCTCCAGGGAGACACCTGAGTCATTGAAGACCAGGGCAGCTTCTTCAGTGGGGGACACAAGGGGCGACAGGCCTAAGACAGACAGACAGCCCTGGCCCTGCCTGTCCTCAAGTTGTGGAGGTGCTTGGGTATTACTTCCCTTACCAGGCCAGCATTTTCTTCTGTAAAAGGGGAAAACAACTTAGACTCTTGTGAACCCAGAGGTCTCAGATGAACTGAACACTGTGAAAGGAGACGCCAGCATTGGGCATTTCTGTCCCGTTTGCATAGAAGGCTTGGTGGGGAGTGACCTGAGCCTGGGCCCCACCTGTGAGCAGGACGGTTTCTGCTGGACCACACTGTGGGGTGGGGCTCTGGGGACCACACTGCCTTGTGCCACAGGGTAGCTGTGATGCCCTGCACGGTGCTGAGGGACAGGACAGGGACCTCAGAGCTGCCTTCGGGCTGCTTCTAGGGTTGGGTAACTGGGGTGTTTTTAGGACCGCAGTCCC